TCTAAAACTTAGGCAGCTGGGGCCCAAGAACACAGGGCTCCCTCCTAGAGTCAGTAGGAGCTGTGGGGGCAGCACTAGCACCTGCCCAGACTCTCAGGTGGACCTGAGGTGCATAAGGATACAGACCTTGTTTCTGATGGCCTGATCACCTTCTGCATCCTGATGGAAAGGCGAGCCCCAAAGGTGTACAGGAAGCATTGTGATAGCTGGGAATAAGGACTTGGTGTCTGGTGTGGCCGTAAAGCCCTGCAGTGACCACCTTTTCTCTGTTCCAGTTTCCTCTCTCCTGATGCCACCCCCCAGGCACCCAACCCAGCCTGGCTCTCAGCTGCTGCACTGTACTTTGCAATTCAACAAGTCGGGGAAGAAAACGTCAGGACCCAGCTCGAAAAGTTGGACTGCGAAAGAGAGGAGGCAAGATTCAAAATTCTTTTCTATCTTCTCTCGCAAGTGTGGTTTTAGTCAGTGCTATTTCTTTGGGTTTGCCTGATGAACTGTGTTTTTCTAATGACAAATATGAGGCTTGGAGTTTTTGTCAGATTAAACTGAGTCTCAAGTTTAGTAAAAATAATACATTTCATTTTTAAAAATGCTTATATCTACTTATTTTTGAGACAGAGTCTCACTGTCTCGCCCAGGCTGGAGTGCAGTGGTGTAATCGTAGCTCACCGAAGCCTCTTTGTCCTGGGCTCAAGCCATCCTCTGGCCTCAGCCTCTGGAGTAGCTGGGACAACAGGTGTGTACCACCATGCCCAGCTAAGTTTTTAAAATTTTTTTAAGAGATGAGAGGGTCTCAAGAGATGAGGGTCTCTAGGCCGGTGCAATGGCTTACATCTGTAATCTCAACATTTTGGGAGGCCCCAAGGTGGGTAGATCACTTGAGGTCAGGAGTTCGAGACCAGCCTGGCGAACACGGTGAAACCCTGTCTCTACTAAAAATAAAAAAAATTAGCCGACCTTGGTGGCACATGCCTGTAATCCTATAGCCTGTAAAACTACTCGGGAGGCTGAGGCATGAGAATCTCTTGAACCTGGGTGGCGGAGGTTACAGTGAGCTAAGATCTTGTCTCTGCCATGTAGCAAGACTGTCTCAAGAAAATAAAATCAAAAGAAGAAAAGGCCGGGCAGAGTTGCTCACGCCTGTAATCCCAACACTTTCGGAGGCCGAGGTGGGCGGATCACCCGAGGTCAGGAGTTCAAGACCAGCCTGACCAACATGGAGAAACCTCATCCCTACTAAAAATTCAAAATTAGCTGGGCATGGTGGTGCACGCCTGTAATCCCAGCTACTAAGGAGGCTGAGGCAGGAGAATTGCTTGAATCCAGGAGGTGGAGGTTACAGTGAGCCGAAATCACACCACTGCACTCTAGCGTGGGCAAGAACGAAACTCTGCCTCAAAAAAAATAAATAAGGGAGATGGTGGGAGGGCGTCTCACTCAGTTGCCCAGGCTTGAAGTGCTTTTTTTTTTTTTTGAGACGGAGTTTCGCTCTTGTTACCCAGGCTGGAGTGCAATGGCGCGATCTCGGCTCACCGCAACCTCCGCCTCCTGGGCTCAGGCAATTCTCCTGTCTCAGCCTCCTGAGTAGCTGGGATTACAGGCACGCGCCACCACGCCCAGCTAGTGTTTTGTATTTTTAGTAGAGACGGGGTTTCACCATGCTGACCAGGATGGTCTCGATCTCTCGACCTCGTGATCCACCCGCCTCGGCCTCCCAAAGTGCTGGGATTACAGGCTTGAGCCACGGCGCCCGGCCCTTGAAGTGCTTTCATTTAGGCTATTTTGATCCTCATCACAGCCCAGTGTAAAGCCGTCAGTCTTCAAGTGGTGTTGTCTTTGTTCATACTGCTGTAGCCTTAATTCATGTGCTGAGGGACAGTGACACAGCTCAGAGCCGGGGTGCTGGGGACAAGTGGCAGAAAGGATGGGACTCTTTAGCCATAGTTATGGGGAAAAGAGCAGAAGAAAAGGCTGCTCTGAATTCGAGGCCAGGGACCATGCTGGACTCAGACCCAGTGCCTACCTGATTGCTGCACCCTGGAAAGCCTGACTGCCCCTTCCAGGCCAGTGACACCCACATGGCACTCCCATGTAGGGAGCCAGGGGTGGTGTGGGTACAACAGGAACTGAAGCTAGCATCCCACAAGAGAGCTGGAGTCAGCAGTCCCCTGTGCCCGGCCCATGGTCAACACAGGCTCTGCATCAGCATGCTACTTAGACCAGCTGAAAGCTGGATCCACAGCACAGCCAAGGGTTTTGGTGATTTTTAACAACCCTCCAGGAGGTAGGGTTCTTCCAAGTTTGTCTTTAGGTTGCCTGTGGGCTTTTGTTAAGAGTTTCAGTGGCTCCACAGCCTTGAGGCCCTACTGTGCGGAGAGGACAGTGTCCACAGATACTGCCCAGTCAGGCCCTGGGTTAGGATGGAGGCTGTGGGTTTATCTCCAAGGATTGGGACCCCACACAGCCAAGGAGTCTGCAGCACCCCCTCTTTCTGTGTTTAAAGGCAAGTGTGAAATGACCCAGTCAGTAGTAATTCTCAATTAAGCTCTCTTTTAAAAGTGACTGGAAAGTTTTCTTTTCTGAGATCCACTTAAAGGATTTATGGCCTAGATGTAAAAAAAATCCAGGTAAAGAGAAATGTATGTGTCGGCCTTATTTGCAGTCACAGTACAGGTCATTTAATGTAATAGTAATCAGTGTACATTTTTCTTTGCAGCTATTGGTTTTCCTTTTCTTCTTCTCCTTGATGGGCCTGCTCTCGTCACATCTGACCCTGAATGTAAGTCAGACCTTACCAACTAAGGTGTCCTCTCCTGCTGTGGGCTAGGCAGGGGCTGGCTTGGAAGCTGGCTGCTTTAAGTCAGGATTTCCATAGTAGCTCAGAAGCTCCCTGTGTTTGCAGAAGTATGAGAATTCCCAGACTGTGGGCCCCCCCACTTTTTTTTTTGAGACAAAGTCTCGCTCTGTTACCCAGGTTGGCCTGCAGTGGCAGTCTTGGCTCGCTCCAATTTCTGCCTCCTGGGTCCAGACTATTCCCCTTCTTCAGCCTACTGAGTAGCTGTCTAGGATTACAGGCATGCGCCACAATGCCCAGCTAGTTTTTGTATTTTTAGTAGAGACCAAGTTTCACCGTGTTTCCAGGCTGGTCTTGAACTGCCCTCAGTGATCTGCCCTGCTTCTGCTTTTCAGAGCGTTGGGGGACCACAGGCATGAGCCACTGCATCCAGCCCATGGGCCTTTCTTTTCACATCGATTTCAGGGCATGGTACAGTGGCCTGGTATGTGAGCGCCTGAGGTTCCTGGCCTCCTCCTGAGCCCCTTCCGTCCACAGGCCCCCCTGGTATCTTCTATATAGGTCGTCATCAGTTCTAAGACTTTCAGTAAGCAGAGGGGAAATGCCTTCTGTGCGGAGGGCCATACTCCCCACCCACGTGAGCACAGCAGGTCTGCCATTCTCAGGGTTCCTCTCACACGGTTTACAGAGCGCCCTGGGCCCACTAAAAGCTTTAGATGTTTGTGCCGCAATCCTTGAGTGTTTGGAGAAGAGGAAGATATCCTGGCTGGCGCTCTTTCAGTTGACAGAGAGTGGTAAGAAAAACACGGAGCACTGCTCTTTTCAGAGGCAACTTTCAAATGGTTAAGAACGAGCCCTCCTTGAGGTTTACTTTGCCAATTCATTCTTAAGAGTTTATCCTCTGGCTTAGTTGATAAGCTCCATTTTAGTTGGGACAGATTAAGCACAAACTTGTTTAAAGCAATACGATAAATTTATCGGTTCACTGGTAAACCCTAGGACTCACAGGCCTGTTGTGGACACTGCCTCACTCTGCCCCACACCTGTGCTCTCCTGCAGGAGGGCAATCCCCGCACCCCATCTTCTTCCAATTGCTGACAGGTGCCCAGGTGTCCTCAGCTCAGGCTGTTCACCCTGCACCATCACCCAAGCCAAGCCTCCTAGAGCACACGTCCTGACCCTAGGGGTGTCCCCCAGCACTGCTAATAAGCAGAGATGTCCAGAATTGTCTGAACCACCTCTTGGTGTTGCAGACACCAGCCTGGGGTGCCTCCTCCTCCGTGTGGCCCCGGATCAGCACACCAGGCTGCTGCCTTTCGCCTTCTACAGGTAACTCCACAGCCGTGTATGGTCAGGGAGGGGGCAGTGTTTGAGACCCCTATCTTAGCCCCTCTGGGTCTCCCACTAGATGGGAAAGGTTGCCTGTGCCTCTGCCCCACCGATGAGCAGGTGTCCCCTGACATCACCTGCGACCTTTCCAGCAGTTTTAGCCACCTGTCACCATGTCTTTACCTCTAGTCTTCTCTCCAACTTCCACGAAGACGCAGCCATGAGGGAAGAGGCCTTCCTGTGTGTTGCTGTCGACATGTACCTGAAGCTGGTCCAACTCTTCGTGGCTGGGGATACGAGCACAGTTTCACCTACAGCTGGCAGAAGCCTGGAGCTCCAGGGTCAGGCAGGTGCAGGGGCCAGTCCCATCTCCGGGGGAGCTCCCCCCACCCCGCCTGAGGTGCAGCATGCAGATGGTAGGGGACACACCAGCCCTGTCTTGGTATGCCTTCCAAGCTGTGATTTTGCCCCTTATTCTCTTTAGGGCGACCCTGTTGATTTGATAACAAAAGCTCGCCTTTTTCTGCTGCAGTTAATACCTCGGTGCCCAAAAAAGAACTTCTCACACATAACAGAGGTAATGTCAAGATGCCCAACTTGGGGATGTGAGAATTCCCAGCTGCCTGGGTCATGTGCCCGCCTGGCAGGCAGCATGAGTCCGCTGTCCTGCCAGCACCCCTCCCGTGTGTGTGTTCTGAGACCCAGCCGCCGGCATGGGCTGAGTACGTGCTCTCTCCCAGCTGCTGGCTGATCGTGGGGACTATGACCCAGAAGTGAGCGCTGCCCTCCGGAGCAGGCAGCAGGCTGCCCATGACACTGACCTGTACCGGGAGCCTCATCTCTTCTAACAGGACCTGCCAGTGCACACCAGCCCCGCTCCTTTGTAAATAATTTATTACAAGTGTAACATGGAGCTTGTGTTGCACTAAAAAGTGGATTATGAATCTCCTTGATTGCTTTAGTAGGGAAAAGGAATCCATTATTTATGAAGTGTCTGGCCCCAAGTCACTTCAGTGTTTGTAGGAAAATAAACCACTGGTCCCAGAGCGGAGAAAGGCTACTTGAGCTGTACACCAAGCCCACCTCCACCACCAAAGGTGGGCCACATCCTCTGACCCTCCTACATGGCTTCACAGGAAGTCGGTGAGGCTGACACGGCCCCTGCAGAGTCCAGGCTGCTACAGGTCCCATCCTCACTGCTGTCCTCAGGTGGGCTCGGGCTTCACCGCCTGGCCATCTGTGGTTCCAGAGGGACTAGGTAGGCCCGGGGGGTGGCTCTGCCTCCAGGGGCAGAGCTTTGTCCTGGGTCTGTGTCAGCGGGTGCACCATGGACATATGCACGTTGAGGTTATGGGCCTTCTCAAACCGCCGGCCACACTGGTCACAAGCAAAGTCCAGCTCAGTCTCAGCCTTGTGTTTGGTCATGTGGTACTTGAGGGACGCCCGCTGCCTGCACTGGAACCCACAGACCTCACACCTGAGGGACAAAGGCAGGTGAGAAGGTGCCCGGGCCAGCCACAGCCCTGGGGCGGGCCTGGCTCACACTTACTGCAAAGGCTTGGCTCCTGAATGTCGCATCTGGTGGACGAGCAGGTGCTTCCGCTGCTTGAAGGTCTGTCCACACTCATCACAGATGTAGTTCCGTACCTCTGAGAGAGTAGAGTCCAGTGAGTACAGGCCCCTGATGCTCCAACTGCCTGGTGGAAGGGGGCGTGGTGGCATGGGGAATGACAGTCTAAAACATCACAGCTGAGAGGATTATGCTTCAACATCTGGTAGGCACAAGCAAGGGGCCTCTGAGGCCTAATTTATTAATAAGATCTTTAAATTGCTTGACAGGAGCATCACATGGCTAGGTCTTCCCCATCATCAACCATGTACATTTAAGGACTTTTAAAGACGGGGTTTCACCATGTTGGTCAGGCTGGTCTTGAACTCTCGACCTCAGGTGATCTGCCCACCTTGGCCTCGAAAGTGCTTGGATTACAGGCATGAGCGACCACGCCCGGCCTTAAGGGTGATTTTTAAAGGAACTTCGGAAGCCACCTATTTCCTTGCCCACAAATTCTTGAAGCTGTGAGAGGGGCCATAACCAGGGTGTGGGAGACACCCCGTTGGTATGCATGGCTGTACTCGCTCTGGAATCTTTCTGACACACTTCTGACTCCATCTGTGGACATGCATGCTCACTCACCCTATGCTGTCCACGTATCTGTCAAGCCTGAAATAGCTGAGCAAGACGGGTATTTCTGAGGTAAACTTTACCCTGAGGTCTTACTAAAAGAGACTGAGTCTTTCCTACTCAGTTGCCCAGGCTGGGGTGCAGTGGTACAATAATGGCTCACTGTAGCCTCAAACCCCCAGATTTAACTAATCTCTTGCCTCAGCCTCCCAGCTACACCCTGCTGATTTAAAAAAAATTGGGGGCTGGGGCCTGGTCCCAATGGCTCACACCTGTAATCCCAGCACTTCGGGAGGCAGAGGGGAGTGTGAAATCACCTGAGGTCAGGAGTTTGACCAGCCTGGCCAACACAGCAAAACCCACCTCTCTAGGGTGCCTATAATCTTTACTTGGGAGGGGACGCTGAGACAGGACAGTCACTTGAACCAGGGAGGCGGAGGTTGCAGTGAGCTAAGATAAATGCCACTGCACTCCAGCCTGGGCAACAGAGTTAGACTCTATCTCAATCATTAAATAATAATAAAACTGGTAGAGATGGGGTCTCACTATGTTGCCCAAGCTGGTCTCAAACTCCTGGCCTCAAACAATGTTCCTGCTTCAGCCTCCAAAATGTTGAGATTACAGGCATAAGCCACCACACCCAGCCTGATGTCAGGTGCAGAGTCTGAAGAACCAAAGCCAAGGAAGTAACAGAAATAACCAATATGTCAGGTGACAGGAAAATGGTTGCACCAAAATCCACAAGGTGATCCAGTAATAAAAATAAATCCTAAAGAGAAAATACTTTCTGCAATCAATTGTTCTTTAAAAAGCTCAAAACCAAGCAAAACTACGTATTTAGGGATCAATATACAGTTGTCCTCAGCTGCTTCCTCGGGGGATCTCAGGCTTCACTGAGGCAAACCCTCTCCCCCTCCCCCCCCCCCCCCGGCTTACCAATACCAAAATCTGCTCATACCGCAAACACCCCACAGAACCTGCACATTTGAAAACACTGCTCTCTGTATGCCAGGGATTTGAGTTCCTGACCACAGGTACATGGGCGCACACAGTTCAAACTGTTGTCCAAGCTGCAGTCTGAGACCAGCCTGGCCAACACGGTGAAACCCTGTCTCTACTAAAACAAAAGCTAGCTGGGCTTTGTGGCACGCACCTGAAATCCCAGCTACTTGGGCAGCTGAGACGGGAGAATCACTTGAACCTGGGAGGCAGAGGTTGCAGTGAGCTAAGATCGTGCCACTTTAGTCTGGGTGACAGCAAGACTCCATGTTAAGAAAATTTACCAGTTTAGACAATCTGCTGGCAATCTGGGAATTCCTTCCATCACAGGGAAGGGCAGATCCACAGACCCCCTACTCTAGCCTTCATCTACCTACATGACTTATGAGCACCCAAGGCCTTTAGCCACCTGCCTGTGACCCCCAACTCCTGGGGAAGGGGTGGGTATCAGGAAGAGTGGAAAGCAGGTCACGTGTCCCTGGGAGTACCTGTATGGATGAGCTTCACGTGGCGCTGCAGGTAGCGGTCGATCATGAAAACCTTGTTGCAGCCAGGGTGGGGGCAGGGCCGCTCCCGGACCTCCTCATGGTGCTCCTTGATGTGCTTCTGCAAAAGACACGCGGTGAGATCCTCGGCCTCACCTAGGCCAAGCCCCAAGGGTCCTCGGGGGTTGATGGCTGACCCCCACAGGAGGCAGGCAGATCCAACAACTCCAGCTACACCACTGGCTCCATAGCTTCACTCTAAGAAACTTCTGGACCCCCAGGGGGTGTCTCCAGTCAAAGTCTGGGCCCACATCTACCCCTGGGATGTCACCATTAGTCTAGGTCATGAGCATCCTTGGGCACAAGTCTGAGTCAGGTCACACTAACAGCTGCCAGGCCCTAATCAGGCACCGCCACCGCTCACCTTCATGCCGTCAGCGCCTCGGTACACGGCCGTGCAGCCCTGGTAAGGACACTTATAGATGGTGGGAAGCTCCTCCCTGGAATGAAAACCGTGCATGAAGCCTCAGCCCCGACAGGTGCCGCAAGCCCCGCACTCCAGGCCTCACCTCTCACAGCGAAGCTTCTTCTTCCACCCTGGCTTGGGTCCGGGCTTCTTCCGAATTCTTGGTTCTTCAGACTTCTTGGCTTCTTTGCTTTCAGTCTTCTTACCAGAGACCCTGAAAAAAAAAAAGGTTCCCAGATTCAGTGGCTTCTGATCTTTTGCTAACATTTCTTGTCTGTCCTCCGGCATGAGAGATGGTTTTTCTGAATGAGTTGGTTCTGTGCTGACTAGCCCCCAAATCTAACTAGCCACCGAAGCCAGAGCGACTCTGGCCAGGCGGCCTCAGGAGCAATCATAGCAGAAAACCAGGGAGCGGGGCACAAGTACATGGAGTGACCTGCTTGCTACAGGGGTGAGTTCTCAGAACTGAAGCTTCACCCCATTCTACATGTAAAACAAAAAACTGGAGCTATCAGGAAACATGGCACAACAGGGATGCTCTAGGGACCACTCCTTACCAAAACGACCTTACACTAGAAAAGAGCTCAGAATCCACTCTCTGAAAATGTGAGAGCCTGATTTCAAGCTCAAGGCACCTAGGCAGGGCTTCACAGGAAGAGGTGCTGTTCCCCCGAGAAGCACACGGTGAGCAGCTGCCACCCCCATTCCTCAGCCCTGCTTCCGCTGCAGGGAGCCCAGCCTGTGTTCCTGGAGCCGTTGGCTGGGGCCATGGTGGGCAGGAAACCTTGTCCTCCAAAACTTCAGGGCCATGCATTTTAGTTGCTCTGGCAAGTCCCTGAGGGGCCAGCAAATGCAGTAGCTTCCCATTACACAGATAGATACATACTTCTCGACAGTACACAGAAACACAAAATCCAATTATGTTTCTATGTACTATCAATGAACAATCAAAAAAGGAAAGTAAGAAAATAACTGATGGACAATAGAATCAAAAAGTCATTCACACTGTAGTGGCTCACGCTGGTAATTGCAGCACTTTGGGAGGCCGAGGTGGGAGGACGGCCTCACACACAAGGCTGCCATCAGCAGTGACCATGCCGGTACACTGCAGCCTGGACAACAGCGTGAGACCCTGTCTCTAACTGCCCTCTACTTAGAGAGTGCGCTGAAAAGGACTGTGTTGACGTACTGCTGCCCCTTCTCTCCCTGACCCTAATAACTATTTCATGACCTAGCCACGTGTCCCTTCACCTGCCCTGCCTTGTTTCAGAGTGACTGGCATGCTGCTCCCACAATGACCGCTTACTTCCTAGGCACAGGAGGCTTCAGACCAGCTATAGCCTCTGTGCCCTTGGGTTTGGGATGGGAGTCCTCGTGGACAGGGGTGGATTGTGCTCAGGCCTCACTGCTGCTTGCCAGTTCTTTCACCACGATGGCACAACCGCTGGCTGCAACCAGAGCTCCAATGGACACATCACTGAGGTCTCTCCTCACCTGCCCCTGGCTGAGGACCGAGGCAAGCATGCCTGCGAGAACTCTACGATCAGCAGCAAGACAACTGCGTGGTGGCACGTGGGCTGGGGGCTGTGCAGACGCCCCTCTAGGTTCCCAAGGGGTCCTCACTGTAGCAGCTGAGGAACCACATGCCCTGGCAGTTACCACCCAGCCCTGCCTCCTGAACAGGGCAGTTTCCGCTCAACTAACCCCTTTTACTAGTGGACTCTTAAAACATGTCTCATGTGTCTGTTCCAAAGCACATCTTTGGCGCACTCCTGGGGTTCCAAGGGGCCTAATGACACAGCAGCAGGGGCTGCCTCGATCTGGAAAAAAGGCTCATCTGTCCCCTCCCATCCCAGCTCCCAGCCCTCCTCACACCAGTGGCTCCAGACCTTCTGGGCAGCAAGCCATAGACACATTCTCGGGTGTCCTGGGATTCGGACTCAGCCGGGGGAGGTCACAGGACAGGGAGTAGGGGTTTCAACAGCAGCCATGATTCCTGGGAACAAACCTAAGGGTGGGACCCCCCAGGGCACCTTCTCTAGGCCTGACCAGTTTTCTGTCCACGCTGAGGCCACTGGAGCTCCCCTGGCTCCATCCCACCCTCTGCTTCTCATCTATCTCCAGGCCTCCCACATTCCCGTTTTTCTTTTTGTAACTGAACAGCATCAGGACTTCAGTGAAACTGGCAGGTGACCGCTCAGTCTTCGATGCAGGGTTCTCTTGGCTGACCATGGTACTCAGAGCCGCCTGCCCTCTGGATCTTTGTTTTGGACTGTGAAATGCTAAGGAAAGGGACTGGGTCAGCCACCAACCACCTGGGAGTGTTCTGGATTCTCCTGGGTACAGGGTTGCAAAGAAACAGCACAAGTGAAAAGCAGCCCTCACTATCAAGACCTGTGTCCTAACTGAAGAGAGAAAACATAAATCCCCAAAAACAGAAGATCAAAACAAGGTCACAGAAGTGATTGAACAATAAAGTTAACCATGGCTGCCTGGCTACAAAGGTCAACGACAGGGTCAGAGCTGGAAGAATGACAGACGGTGGGCTGGCAGTTACAGGAGGACACTGGTGTGAACCCAGAACAGGACTGGCAGAAGGGACGCAAGAACCTCCTGCGGCGAGGCTGGGTTTTGTCAAAGGGGACCCCTGCCATCCATTGCTGGGACCCTGAGGCAGTCCTGCCCTGCCTGCTGGTCACCTCACAGTGCTGAGACGGGCAGCCAGGAGGACCCACCTTTTCACCTGCCCCTCCCACTGCCTTCCAGCTCACAGATGGAAGCCACATTTGACTGCGCTCAGAACTGAGGGTAGGCACAGCAGGGAGTGGAGGCTCTGCCTCCCCTGCCCCTCCAATGTTGAAGGGGGTGTCTAGATCACACACGTGATGCCTCCACCAGACTCACTTACTTCTGTTCTGGGTAAGGCTCAAAGGACTCGTCTGAAGACTGAGCATTTTGCTTCTTGTCGTTTTCGTCTTCACTCAGGAAGTCTCTAGGAATTAAGAGAGACTCTTAAAAAAAAAATAAAAAATAAAAAAAATAAAAAAAAAAGAGAGACTCTTCAGCAAAGCCCTAGGCAGTGACAAAGCCGCCAAAACTTCCTGCCTAAAGACACCACGTGGACCCCCATGTCCCACATTTCAGTTCTTCTGAAATTGTCTTCAGAAATCTAAAATCTCCAAATTTCCAATCCCATTTCCAAACACGAAGGGCAAGCCGGGCTCACAAGCCAGCAACTCCCCACAAGCCAGGCACTCCAGGTACCTGGACCCCAATCTTGGAAAAAGCCCTTTCCACCGCAGTCCGGAAGGGCTAGAGGCTTGCAGAGGGGGCTTCTCAGAAACCGACCACCTCACCTGTAACTGTGAACCCTTAATGCAGCTGATGGGTTTGCCATCAGCCACTTCTAAGTTCCCAAAAGCAGCCGGGTGTGGTGGCTCACACATGTAATCCAAGCACTCTGGTAGGCTGAGGGAGGTGGATCACCTGAAGCCAGGAGTTTGAGACCAGCCTGGCCAACATCGTGAAACCTCGTCTCTATTAAAAACACAAAAATTAGCCGGGCATGGTGGCGCATGCCTGTAATCCCAGCTCCTCGGAAGGCTGAGGCAGGAGAATTGCTTGTACCAGGGAGGTGGAGTTTGCAGTGGGCTGAGATCGAGCCACAACACTCCAGCCTGGGCAAAAGAGTGACAGTCTAAAAAAGTTCACAAAAGCAAAAAAAAAAAAAAAAAAAAAAAAATTGTGGCCTTCATTCTAAAACGTGAGTTGCAATTTCATCTCCTAGTGGTCTTGGGGGCAGCCTCAGCCACCCCAGGTGCCTCCTGGTACTTGCAGGATTTCATCACTGGACACCCCGCTGGGATTGCCCCCAAAATTGGGCTGTCCTCATCTGGATCAGGTATGCCTGTTTTGCAGCCAAGATTTACAGGGGAAGATGGAAAGGGTGTGAACCCCTGTCCGGCACAGCTGCCCTGAGTGCTGCTTGGCTGAGAGGCAGGGGATTCCCAAGGAGCTCACAGGCACTGATGGGGTCCCTTCTGAGAAGTCCTGTCCTCCACCACCTCCTCATGAAGCCTCCACTTCAGGTCACAACAGTGTCATATTCAAGAACTAGAGTCGGGCTTTCTCGACTCTAGAAACATCTGGAGCAAACACAAAACTATGGCCTTAAAGGAGATAACAGTAGCGGTAGCCAAGGACCCAGCCACAGGGTGGTTTCAACAAGCTCATTTCTATGCTGCTCTGGGTTAGAAACCCTATCAGCCTCCCTCTGGAGCTGCCCCAGGTCTAGGGGGTCCTGTGGCACCCAGGAAACCACTAATCGGGGACAAGAAGCCTCGGAAGCTCCCCACCCACTCCTCTCCTCCCACCTCAAAAGGAGGCACATCCCAACCAGGGCATGGGCAGCCGGCCCCTACGATGGCTGTTTGGTTTTTGAAGGAGAAATTTTAGGCTATTTAAACCCACTCTTCTCTCACCCCTCAGAAAGGTCACTGAACTCGTCTTTTACCCGATCATCCGAGGTTGAAGATGGAACCTGCTTCTCACCCAACTGCCCTGAGAAACAAAGAACAAGGCTCCTGTTACCCACGTGGAACACAGAAAGGCCTCACCTGCAAGGAGGCACGACTTGACTAGAAGGGAGCCTGGGGTCCCCGACCTGCAAGTTCCCCCCACCTTGGCCTCATCCCTGCCAAGAGTGTTACGTGGCCTCTGATCCTACCAGCCCCACATCCAGAAGCACACAGGAAGCAGCAAGCATCAGAACCCCCAGGAGCAGCAGAACCAGAAAGCCCAGTTCTTCCACAGCCTCAGATCTAGTCTCCTCCTCACACAGCCTAGACCTGGTGGATGTTCTGAGACATTTAAAAAATTACCACTGTTGGCCAGGCATGGTGGCTCACGCCTGAAATCCCAGCACTTTGGGCAACCGAGGAGGGCGGATCACCCGAGGTCAGGAGTTGGAGACCAGCCTGACAAACATGGTGAAACCCTGTCTCTACTAAAAATAGAACAAACAGCCGGGCATGGTGGCAGGTGCCTGTAAGCCCAGCTACTCAGGAGGCTGAACCACGAAAAGCACCTGAACCCGAGGGGCAGAGGTTGCAGTGAGCCGCAATCACACCACAGTACTACAGCCTGGGCAATAAGAGTAAGACTCTGTCTCAAATAAATAAATAAATAAATATCAGAAAAGTATGGGAACTTACTTAAAAAAAAAAAATTATTGTTCCCTTGGCCGGGTGCAGTGGTTTGCACCTATAATCCCAGCACTTTGGGAGGCCGAGGCAAGAGGATCACTTGAAGCCAGGAATTCAAGACCAGCCTGAGCAAAATGGTAAGAGCCCCATCTCTACTTAAGTTTTAAAAAGTATTGTTCTCAACGTACTGCACACAAGTTTAAAAAGCCAAGCAGTTCTAAGATGTGACACTCACAACCCTGCTCCCTCCCTGAGGCCCCCTGAGCCACACCATCTCATTTGTGCACCGGTACCTAGCTGAGCCATCTCAGCCATCTCAGGCAGCTGCATTTTTGTTTGTCTGGGACAGAGTCTTACTCTGTTTTGGGACAGTCTTGATGGAGTGCAGTGGTCCAATCTCAGCTCACTGCAACCTCCACCTCCTAGGCTCAAGTAATTCTCGTGCCTCAGCCTCCAGAGTAGCTGGGATTACAGGCGCATGCCAACACGCCCCGATAGTTTTTGTATTTTTAGAAGAGATGGGGTTTCACCATGTTGGCCAGGCTGGTCTTGATCTCCTGACCTTAAGTGATCTGCCCACCTCAGCCTATCAAAGTGCTGGGATTACACGTAGCCGATTTTTGGGAGCTCCACTGAAGACTCAAGGTCAGAGCTGAGTGCCCAGGTGGGACAGGTGCGCAGAGCACACGAAGGACGAGAGGTCAGTGGGAAACTGGCCCCGGCCCTCCTAACACAACGTCCAGAAGCAGCTGCACCAGCCCACGGTGCTGAGGGTTCTGGGGCCCAAACAAGAGCTCTGTATTTCCCCTCAGCCTGTCAGCAGAGAAAGCTGTGCCACAATGGCCCACACCAGGGCGCCACCAGGCAACTGTCTGAGCGCCAGGAAATGACCTGCAGCTGGCCCAGGGCAACAGCCACAAAGGCAGTGGCCGCTCTCTCCCCCACATCCACAGACAAGGCTCCATTATTCTCTCTTCCTCAGTCCCCTCAGCTCCAAGCACAGGCTTAGACAAAGACTAGACGACTAATGAACACGTCTCTACAGAAACTGCTGGAACTGAGCTCTGCTTATGAGACAGGCTGGCCACCCCTCCCTGCTCTTTGGATGTGGTGAGCCGCAGCAGGCAGAAGCCCCAAGACCCCCCCGGCCCCTTCTGACACCACACCACAGCCACCACCCAGAGCAGTGGAGATACCCATTTTCTGCCGAAAACCCTGCCCCGTGGAGGAGCACAGATCCTGGTCTAGCACTGGCATGAGGTGCCTCCTACCTGGGGCCCCGCAGAGGGGCAGGCTTGGCTGAGGTGGGAAGCCCTGCCTGGGCCCTGCCGGGCTGCTGTCTGAAGGAGGCTGGGCCATGTCTGTGCCAGGCAGGGTCCTGGTCTCAGACCCCACTGGGGTCCCTGTCCCTCTGCCCTGGGAGGTCTGAGGGGCGGCCCCAGGGTTGCAGCCTCGGTGCTGGGGCAGCCGTGGCACCGTCTCCTTGTCCCATGGCCACCTGACTGCCAGTGTACTGTCCAGCAAGAAGGCCTTGCAGCTAGAGCTGGAGTCCATGGTGTAGTCGTGGCCCTGGTCGCAGCCCCACACGGCCCGGATGACGCCACAGTACTCAGAGGACAGCGTCCTCTGAAGGTGGGGCAGGGCCCTGCAGCTGGCCGCATGTCCATGCACCCACCCCACCAAGCCATGCAGGCACTGGGGGCTCGATGTGATCAGATCCACTGCAGAGAGTCAACAGAGATGTCAGTTCCACGGCTGGCCAACACCCAGCCCACCGTCCACCGGGGGAGGACTCACCCAGACAGGCTCCCTCCTCTGCCCCTGTTGGGGGCTGGGCACCGACCCTGCAAAGGATCAGTGTGGCCATGAGCAGGACCAGTAGGCAGAGACCCATGGCGCTCCCCATACAGGAGCGTCCTGAGGTCTCAAACCAGCGGTCCCCACAGGGAACCCTCTTCTCTCCCCTCCCTACAGCTCCTCCCGGCTCGCTCCACACCGGTCCCAGGGTGTTTGCAGGTGTCTGCGCTGAGCTGGGCATGGCCCATTCCCCCACCCAGAGGCTCCTGCGGAGGCTCGCCCTTGTCCCTCTCTCAGCACGTGTCACTCCACAGTGCTGACGACCTGAACGTGACCTAAACAAACTAGGGCGTACTTTGCACAAGGCTTCCGATGGCCCGTCGGGGAGACATTGATCCTCTGCAAGAAGGACTTGAGGAGGCTGTGGCACTGGTAGAACTGGGAGTGACAGCTCTTGCAGACGAACTGAGATAAGCTGGGGTCCTGGCGGACAGCCACGCCCAACAAGCGCTGGAAGTCCCTGACGAGGACGCGCTCCCCTGCAGAAGGCCTCTCTAAGCTGGTTCCAGGGGCCCTCTCGGAGATGTTGCGCAGGCTTCTGGAGGAAAACTTTCCGTGGCAGAGGCGACAGTGCCCCATAGTGACAGCCTGGCCTGCTGCACAGAGCGGCAGGAAATATTAGCAGCAGGCAGAGGAGGAGGCTCCTGAGAGCGGGGCGTCCTGGACTCCAGGTCCGAGCGCCATGCCCGCACCGCCCTCCACAAGGCCCCGGGACAGACAGCCACCCCGTGGGCGACGTGGCCGCTGGTCCAGGACGTCTTCCAAAGGGCTCTGAAGGCCGCCAGGGCGAAGCGACCTCGCGAGTGAGGCCTGCAACTGCACCCTCCTCCCAGCGACCGCGCGCCCGGGGAAGGCGCTGCGCTCTCCAGGAAACGCAGCGGTTTCCCGTCTGCCCAGTGTAGACGCCGCCACCTCCTTTCCTGCTCCCAAGAGGACACGAGGCCGGCGACCGCGACCTGCCCGCGGCGACGGCGCTCCTGACGCCGCGTCCCTTCGGACGGAAAGCGCGGCCGGCGACGCCAGCGTCACCCAGCGCGATAAAAACGGGGCCGGGCGCCCAGCGCCGACCAAGGGGCAGTCCCGAGTCCGCTGCGCGCTCGGCCGCGCCGGCTTCCGGGCAACTCCGCCACCCGCAGTCCCCGCCGCGACCCCGCCCGCCACCTCGGGGCCCGGACACACCTGCCTCGTCCGTGCCGTCCTCGCCCGGGTCCCCGCAGGACCCCGCCGGGCCCCAGGCGCGCCGAGCCGCCGCCCCGTCCACCCTCGGCCCGCCGCTGCAGGCGGGGCGGCCCCGGGCCCAGCCGTCGCCGCCGCCCGACGCTCCGCGCTGCCGGCCCGCCCCAGCGGACGGGAAGCGTCCCAGCCGGTCCCGCTTCATAGCAGCGGAGAAAGAACGCCAACAGAGCCCCGCCGGTGCCGCCCGGCCCCGCCCGGCCCCGCTCGAGGTTCTCGGAGGACCAGCGTTCGGCTCTGCTGGGCTCGCTGGAAGCGAGGCGAGGCGGGCCAGGGGCGGGGCGAGAAGCAAAGCGAGGCGGGCGGGGCGGGACCCCGCCGGCCGAGGTTCCATCCGCGGGGCCCGCACCCTCTCTCACACCGCTCCCCTCTCCGGCCCGAGGGCGGCCGCGCCCGCCGCCGCCGCCAATGGGGCGCTGGCCTGGGGCGGAGCACTGAGCGGAGGGGCTCGCCGAGACCTCACGACGAGCCCTCCAAGGAGGGGCGACCCGGCTTTCCCCGCCTCTTACCGTGGGAGACGTGGGCGCGGGGCGGGCGGGCGGCGCCGGCCGAGGCGACGCAGCGCGCAGGTGGCGGGCGGGCTGCAGAGAGGGAAGTCGGGGTCTCACGGGGAGGGAGGCCTGGCTGCCGCGGTTAAACGCCTAGGGCAACTCCGGTAGGGACCCTTCTCGCCCGCCCCGTCTCGAGGAGCCGCCCGAGATCCGTCGCCCCCGCCACTGACACCCGCGGAACCTGAAGTACGCGCGGCGGGGCCCGTCGCCGGAAGTGCGATCGCTTCCCTTCCGGCGGTCCGCTGCTCCGGCGGCTTCCGCACCCGCGCCCGCTGCGTTCCGGGATCCCGGCCGCCTGCCCCGCCCCTCCGCTGCCGCCGCCGCCACCTCCCCCGCCCGGCGTCATGGCCGCTGCGGCCGGGGACGGCACGGTAAAGCCGCTGCAGAGCGCCATGAAGCTGGCCAACGGGGCGATCGAGTTGGACACCAGCAACCGGCCCCGGGTGAGGCGGGGCGGGGGCGGGGCTTGGCCTCCGGGGTGGCCCCTGGAGAGACCCCCGCCCCAGGAGGGCGAGGACGGGGCCGGCGCGGGCTGGGGACGCGGGGGCGGGCGCCAGCAGGGACCCCGGACCGCGGTTCCCGGGCGAGGAATGGGGCGGGGCGCAGCGGGCGTCGCCTGGGGCGGGCGGTGACCTTGGACAGCTCAGCGCCTACCGCCTCGGCTTTCCCTTCCGTGGCCGAGCCGGTGCCTCTGAGCCTGGCTCCGCCTGTGGAGGGGACGCGGAGCGGGCCCGGGCGACCCTCCAGACCCCGTGTGGCGGGCGGCGCCTGCGTTCGTGCAGATTTAATCCGGCTGCCACCGGGGGCGGCTTCCCGAGGAGGCCACAGGCCCGCTCACTGGCGATGCTGTTTGCAGTCGCCTCCTGGGATTCCTGGGAAGGAAGCGCGGGCCGGAGGGGTGTGGTCCGTTCCGGAATCTAAGGTAGAGAAGCCGGCTCAGCCCACCCGGCCGCCCAAGGAGGGAAGGATGCCTGTGCCGAGGAGAAGCCTCCTTCCTGAATCTGCTGCTTTCCCTAAGTTGGTTTTTAGGGCAGCGGGGCCCCCACACATCAGAAATCCTGCCTGGATTATATTTTGTCTTTCTCTCTGAGGCACCGATTTAATTAACCATAGGTAACGTAACACCTAGGGACAGAACAACAACAAAAACACACCGTATTGCCGGCGCGGTGGCGCACGCCTGTAATCCCAACACTTTGGGAGGCCCAGGCGGGCGGATCACGAGGTCAAGAGCTCTAGACCATCCTGGCCAACAGGCTGAAACCCCGTCTCTACTAAAAATACAAAAAAATTAGCTGAGCGTGGTGGCGCACCCCTGTAATCCCAGCTACTCTGGACGCTGAGGCAGGAGAATTGCTTGAACCCAGGAGGCGGAGACTGCAGTGAGCCTAGATCGTGCTACTGCACTACAGCCTGGGGGACAGTGCGAGACTCTGTCTCAAAAAAAAAAAAAAAAAAAATCGAGACCATCCTGGCCCACATGGTTAAACCCCGTCTCTACTAAAAATACAAAAATAGCCAGGGTGGTGGCGCACGCCCGTAATCGCACCTGCTGGAGAGGCTGAGGCAGGAGAATTGCTTGAGCCAGGGAGGCAGCTGTAGTGAGCCGAGACCGTGCCAGTGCACTCCAGCCTGGGCGACAGAGTGACACTCCGTTGCCAGTGAGTGAGCCAGTGCCCGGCCAGCTAAGCCGTCCCTTTAGTGGTTTCCAAAAACCACTAAAACAAACAAAACAAAACAGCACGCTGTGCTCCTAATGACCTTTGCCTTGCTAGAGGGGGTCCGCACAGCCTTAAAACATAACAGCCAAGTGTTCTAGGCTCCTGCGTGCACGGGGAATACTTAACTCGGGTTCTGGGAAAGGGATTTCTCAGAACTTAAGCCAGGAAGTAATCAAAAAACTTGTGGCATTGCTCCTCTGTATCCTCTCAGGAAGTATTTTTTAAGCCACTGACTGAATTGCCCTTGAGTTGCACAAGAAGGAAACTTGTTTCACAGGGTGAAAAAATGACAAACTGCCAAAGTCACTTCCCCGGGCCACTGAATGAGAACCCCAGCTCCTGTGCTGGAGAGAAAGGCAGTGAGAGGAAGAAGTGAGGTCCAGCTCATCCCTGGCTCCCTCTCAGGCCCCCACTTCCTTTCCAAGTCTGGAGAGCTGTGAACTGCCTGTGCCATAGGCAGGACACCACTGATCAGACCACCGAGGCTTTCCAGCTGCAGCTCCTCACTGAAGGCTACATGTCTCTGGGTACAGCTTAGAGATAAGCAGGTGGTGGTGTTCCTTGCTTATCCCACAAGTGCACAAAGCAGGAGAGATGGAGTCACTCCCCTCCACTGCCCTGACCCACTTCTTTCCTGGACACAGGAGGCATACACGGAATACCTGAGAAGCATCCACTATATCTCCCAGGTGCTACTGGAAGAAGTGGAAACCACTAAAGGTACAGCTCAGCTAGCCGGGCACTGGCTCACTCACTGTCATCCCAGCACTTTGGGAGGCCTAGGTGGGCAGATCATCTGAAGTCAGGAGTTCGAGACCAGCCTCGGCAACCCCTGTCTCTACTAAAAATACAAAAATTAGCCAAGCCTGGTGGCAGGAGCCTGTAATCCCAGCTACTTGGGAGCCTGAGGCAGGAGAATCACTTGAACCCAGGAGGCAGAGGTTGCAGCGAGCGGAGATCATGCCATTGCATTCCAGCCTGGGCGACAAGAGCAAAACTCTCTCTCTCAAAAAAAAAAATATAGCTCAGCTGGTGGGAGATGGGTGAGGAGATTCCCCTCAGCACGTACTTGTCTCTGAAATAGCCCCTTCCCAGAGGGCTGCAGCTGCACGTGAGGCCCTGAGTGAGCAGCAAAGGCCCTGTTTAGGGTGCAGGCTCTCACAGGCCTCCGTGAGGGGCACACGGATTCAGCAAGGTCATGAGGTAAAACCAGGGCAGGTGATTTGAGATGAGTGGTTGGGGGCTGGCCCAGGGTCAGTAGTGGTTGGGGGGGTGGCCCAGGGTCCACGGTGGGGACAGTGGGCTTGCCTGGGGGCAGTGTCAGGGGCATTGGGCTTGCCTGTGGTCAGTGGCAGGCATGGGGGGCAGTGGGCTTGCCCAGGGGCAGTGTGGGGGGCATGGGGAGCAGTAGGCTTGCCCAGGGGCAGTGGTAAGGGGCAGTGGGCTTACCTGGGGTTAGTGGAGTTGGGGCAGTGGGCTTGCCTGGCTCGTCCATCGCCTCATTTTATCTCAGCAACAGGTAACAGTAATAGAGCTGACTGTGACCAGCTTTCTTGTCCCTTCCCCAGAACCTGGGGAAACCATGCCCCCTGATACCTCCAAGATGCTGAAGCTAGCACAGCAGTGTCTGGAGAGGGCCCAGTCGACAGCGGCCAAGCTTGGTGGGTCCCTGCAGTAGGCGCGGTGCTCCTGGGTCACCCCCAAGCCTGCGTCTCCTCTGGGGGGTGTGGGCCCACCTGCTGACCCCTGCCGATCAATGGCTTGCAGGGAAAACACGCCTGAAGCCAGCCATGTCTGCGGCTGCTCCCAACCCCCAACCTGCCGGCCGACACCGACGTGTGTATTCAGATGAAGGAGGGAAGCTCTCTCCTTTTCTTCCGCCCGAGATCTTCCAGAAGCTTCAGGGGGCAGAGTCACAAAGCTCTAAGAAGTAAGATGGGCAAGATGGGAGCTGGGCTGAAGATGGGATTGGGTTTCTGAGGCTGAGGAAGATGAGCCAATCGTATCGAATTTAGTTAAAATGGGTCCCAGAACAGGAATATCCTCTTGCCTGACAAAAGCAAATGGGGGCCAGGTGAGGTGCTCATACCTGTAATTCCAGCGCTGTGGGAGGCTGAGGTGGGTGGATCACAAGGTCAGGAGTTCAAGACCAGCCTAGGCAAGATGGTGAAACCCCATCTCTACTAAAAATACAAAAATTAGCTGGTCGTGGTGGCAGTCGTCTGTAATCCCAGCTACTCAGGAGGCTGAGGCAGGAGAATTGCCTGAACCCGGGAGGCGGAGGTTGCGGTGAGCCGGGATTGCGCCATTGCACTCCAGCCTGGGTAACAAGAGCGAAACTCCGTCTCAAAAAAAATAAAATAGCCGGGCGCGGTGGCTCAAGCCTGTAATCCCAGCACTTTGGGAGGCCGACGCGGGTGGATCACGAGGTCGAGAGATCGAGACCATCCTGGTCAACGTGGTGAAACCCCGTCTCTACTAAAAATACAAAAAATTAGCTGGGCATGGTGGCTCGTGCCTGTAATCCCAGCTACTCAGGAGGCTGAGGCAGGAGAATTGCCTGAACCCGGGAGGCGGAGGTTGCGGTGAGCCGAGATCGCGCCATTGCACTCCAGCCTGGGTAACAAGAGCGTAACTCTGTCTCAAAAAAAAAATAAAATAAAATAAAAAAATAAAATAGCCGGGCGCGGTGGCTCAAGCCTGTAATCCCAGCACTTTGGGAGGCCGAGGCGGGTGGATCACGAGGTCGAGAGATCGAGACCATCCTGGTCAACAAGGTGAAACCCCGTCTCTACTAAAAATACAAAAAAAAAAAGTTAGCTGGGCATGGTGGTGCGTGCCTGTAATCCCAGCTACTTAGGAGGCTGAGGCAGGAGAATTGCCTGAGCCCAGGAGGCGGAGGTTGCGGTGAGCCGAGATCGCGCCATTGCACTCCAGCCTGGGTAACAAGAGCGAAACTCTGTCTCAAAAAAAAAAAAAAATAAAATAAAATAAAATAAAATAAAATAAAATAAATAAATAAATAATTTTAGCTCGAAACAAGAATAAATTATATGTATCTATGGGCCAGGCTCGGTGGCTCATACCTGTAATACCAGAACTATGGGAGGCCAAAGCGGGCAGATCATGAGGTCAGGAGTTAAAGACCAGCCTGACCAACATGGTAAAACCCCATCTCTACTAAAAATACAAAATGAGCCGTGCGTGGAGGCTGAGTTAGGAGAATTGCTTGAACCTGGGAATCGGAGGTTGCAGTGAGCAGAGATTGCACCACTGCACTCCATCCTGGGCGATAGTGCGAGACTGTCTCAAAAAAAAAATACTGTATATATACATACAAATCCTTACATACAGAAGTGAGCAAACAGGTTCTTAACAGCAGAGCAGACACAGCTGAAGAGCAAATTCATGTATTGGAAAAAAGGTTAAAAGATACCTGGAATGAATGACAAAAACAAATAAAAACAGAAAGCAAGAGATACAAAGCCTAATGTGTTCACTGGAGTTCCAGAAAAAGTAGAAAGAAAATGGGAGCGAGGCATTATTAGCAGGTAGAGCAGCAGGGCCAAGCACAGTGGCTCACGCCTGCAGTCCCAGCACTTTGGGAGGCCACGGCGGGTGGATCTCAGAGTCAGGAGTTCAAGACCAGCTTGGCCAAGATGGTGAAACCCCGTCTCTACTAAAAATACAAAAATTGGCCGGGCGCGGTGGCTCAAGCCTGTAATCCCAGCACTTTGGGAGGCCGAGGCGGGTGGATCACAAGGTCAAGAGATCGAGACCATCGTGGTCAACATGGTGAAACCCCGTCTCTACTAAAAATACAAAAAATTCGCTGGGCATGGTGGCACGTGCCTGTAATCCCAGCTACTCAGGAGGCTGAGGCAGGAGAATTGCCTGAACCCAGGAGGCGGAGGTGGCGGTGAGCCGAGATCGCGCCATTGCACTCCGGCCTGGGTAACAAGAGCAAAACTCCGTCTCAAAAAAAAAAAAAAAAAAAAATACAAAAATTAGCCAGGTATGGTGGTGGGTATCTGTAATTCCAGCTACTCAGGAGGCTGAAGCAGAGAATTGCTTGAATCCAGGAGGTGGGGGTTGCAGTGAATCAGGATCACGCCATTGCACTTCAGCTTGGGGGACAGAGCAAGACTACATATCAAAAAAAAAAAAAAAAAAACGAAGTTAGAATGGCAGACAGTTGTCTAGAACTGATGAAAGGCACAGAGACACGAATGCAAAAAGCCCAGTGAATCCCAAGTGGGATAGAAAAGAAGGGTGGCTGAGCTTGGCTTCCAGTCACCTCATTTCGGCAAGTGCGGCTTCAGGCAGGATGGCGAGCTGTAAGGCTGTCTTTCCTCCTCCTATCCCCACCACCACCCTCCATTGTCCCTGACAGGGGGAAGGTAAGAGGGACCAAAGCTTTCAAGGTGGAGCGGCTGTTGGGAACTGTTTAAAGGAGACAATATACCTCTTCCTTTCATGAATCAGAAACTCATCTAGCTATTTGACCCATATAGTGCCTTTAAAGCAGGGGTGTCTAATCTTTTGGCTTCCTTGGGCCACACATAAAATATACTAACACTAATGATAGCTGATAAGCTTTAAAAAAATTGCAAATGCTAAGCACGGTGGATCAAACCTGTAATCCCAGCACTTTGTGAGGCCTAGGCGGGCAGATTATGAGGTCAGGAGTTTGAGACCAGCCTGGCCAACACGTTGAAACCCCATCTCTCTAAAAATACAAAAAATTAGTTGGGTGTGGTGGCACACACCTATAGTCCCAGCTACTCAGGAGGCTGAGGTGGGAGAATCGCTTAAACCCAGGAGGCGGAAGTTGGAGTGAGTCAAGACCGGACCACTGCACTCCAGCCTGGGTGACAGAGTGAGACTTCGTCTCAAACCAAAAAAAATCTACTTCCACCTCCTGGGTTCAAGGGATTCTCCCGCCTCAGCCTCCCAAGTAGCTAGGACTACAGGCGTGTGCCACCACGGCCGGCTAATGTTTTGTATTTTTAGTAGAGAAGGGGTTTCACCATGTTAGCCAGGATGGTCTTGATCTCCTAACTTCGTGATCCACCTGCCTTGGCCTCGCAAAGAGCTGGGGTTACAGGCGTGAGCCACCGCACCCTCAGTGATGGTTTAAGAAAGTTTAGGAATTTGTGTTGGGCTGGATTCAAAGTCTTCCAGCCCTTGGGTTGCACAAGCTTTTGCTTTGACAAGATTCATGTTTTGCTGAACACATGTAACTAATCTCCATGAAAGTCCAGTGGTCCAACTTCTCTTGAAAAGTCAAAAGTCCTGGCAATACCAAAACTTGTGGCTTTGGTTTTTGTTTTGTTTTTTTGAGATGGAATCTCCCTCTTATCGCCCAGGCTTGAGTGCAGTGGCTGGATCTCAGCTCATGGCAACCTTGCCCCCCCAGTTTCAAGCATTTCTGCCTCAGCCTCCCGAGTAGTCGGGATTATAGGTGTGCAGCACCATGTCCAGCTAATCTTTATGTTTTTAGTAGAGATGGGGTTTCACCATGTTGGCCAGGCTGGTCTCGAACTCCTGACCTCAGGTCTCTGCCCGCCTTGGCTTCCCAAAGTGCTGGGATTATAGGAGGGAGCCACTGTGCCCGGCCAAAATCACTGTACTGGCAGGGCAGGCAGGAAGAGGCAGGTGCTGCAGCCCACCCCAGATGGCTCCCTGCCTGCCCCCATTACCAGCACCACCTCCCCTCCTCCTCCTCCTTACCTCCTGGCTTCAGAGCCAACAGGGAGGATGAGAGAAGCTCCTTTTGTAGCCAGAACACCACTGGGCTTCCTGGAGTCTAGACAGCAGCTCATCACATTTCCAGAGAGCTGACGCCCTTGGAGGAAGCCTCCCTGCAGAATCAGAAGCTGAAGGCTGCATATGAGGCCCGGATGGCCCGGCTAGACCCCAGCCAGGCTATGCAGAAGACATCCCTGGTGAGTGGGGCCCAGGGAGAGCCTGGCGGTGCAAGGGAGCTGGTCTTACTCCCTCCTTCCTCTCCCAGACCCTCTCTCTACAGCGGCAGATGATGGAGAACCTGGTGATCGCCAAAGCACGGGAGGAGACAGCACCCTTTCTGACCACCCTAGTGGTCTCTGGGGAGAACTCAGTGTGGCCATGAGCCAAAGCCAGAGAATAGGGTAGCAAGGGTAGCAGAGGTTCCAGGGTTGGGGTACAGGGCTGAGGGGCTTCCCGCTTTGCAGAGGGATGGCCTCTGGGGAAGTTCCCCACCCCTATTCCCCCAGCCCTCTGGCTCTGCCCTCCTGGCTTCAGCGCAGGCTGCCTTCTGCCCCAGAAGCCTGCCCTGGGGACTACCTCTCACTGAGGGGGTCCCTGGGACGTCCCGGCTGCTTGGGGTGTGGTTGCAGGTGTGGGGCGGGGGTGGGGGGCCGAGAGCCCCCTCAGATCCGACGCGCGTCCCCTTGACTCTGCACCCAGCTCCAGAGGAAGATGGAGGAGCGCCGGTTGCGGCTCCAGGAGGCTGCCAACAGGTGCGACTCCTGCCCAGTCCCCCACTGCGGAGACAGCCCAGCCCAACCCCGGCCCCGGGATCCACCAGCCCTTGGGTTGCACAAGCTTTTGCGAGCGCCTTCTTCCCCAGGAGGTTTTGCAGCCAGGTCGCCCTGACCCCGGAGGAGCGGGAGCAGCGGGCACTTTACGCAGCCATCCTGGAGTACGAGCAGGACCACGTGCGTCCCCCTCAGGCCGACAGGGCCCAGGATTTGTCCCATTGAGGCGGGGCCCGGGCCTCGTGGGAGGGACCCGACAAGGGGGCAGGACCAGGCTTCAAATAAGGTCTCCCTCTGGTGGGGGTGGGTTGTGCAGCCTGCTGGTGCTGGGTCTCCTGCACCCCAGGACGGTCTCCCAGAGTCTCTTGGGGCAAGCACTGGTGGCAGATGGGGCGCGTCTGGTCGTGGGGACCCAGGTGCTTCCCTCCAAGGCCCCCTGTTCCATAGGACTGGCCAAAGCACTGGAAGGCCAAGCTCAAGAGGAGCCCAGGGGACCTGTCGCTGGTGACCAGCCTGCTGTCACATCTGCTCAGGTAGCTGGGCCTCAGGCACCACTGAGCCCCTGTGTGGGTTGGGTGTCGGGGAGGGGCTGGACTGACAGGATGAGGCTGCCACGCTGCCCCAAGGACCCTGTGCCCCAGCCACCTGGACACCACAGCTCCCTTCACGCTGAGGGCGTTTCCTCGGCTTCTACGACCTTTGCAGGCCATTCACTGTCAGGAGGTGACGCGAGTCACTTCTCTAAACCAGGCGTAGCGCGGCTCCTCTGTAGACTGGTGGGGGCCCCCAGGAGGGCGGCACAGGGGCGGGACGCCGAGGCTGGCCGCGTTCTCACGCCCTCCTCTCCCACAGCCTCCCTGACCACCCGATTGTGCAGCTCCTGAGGCGGCTGCAGTGTGCAGTGTACAGCACCCTGTATCCCGCGGTGAGCAGGGCGGCCGCACCAGCCTCGGGCTGCTGCCCCCCGACCCCCAACCCTGGAAGCCGGCGGCTGCGGCCCTCGCAGAGCCTCCACTGCATGCTGTCCCCGTGCGAGCCCAGCACGGCCCCGCAGCCCCAGGACAGCCCCCCCATGCCCTCACTCCACCCCCGCCCCACGGGGCCTCCCTCACCTGTGGGGGATGTCGTGTCTGGCCTGCCGGACAAGGACAGCTCGTTTGAGGACCTGGAGCAGTTCCTGGGGACGTCTGAGCGACAGGGCCGGGGCCGGGGCCATGGGGGGCAGCCCGAGCCGCAGCTGCAGCAACTGAAGAGTGCGGTGGAGGACATCCACAACGCCATCGGTGAGGCCAGGCCTCCACGTCCTGCGCCCCCATCAGCCCTCACTGCGGGAGGGGCTGCGGCTCTTCACCCTGCTTGTTGGTCCATCTCAAGCTTCTATTTAGGGAAAGGCCTCTCAGTCAGAGCTTCTGATCAGACTCGTGTCCACCCAGCCCAGCCTGCAGGTGGCAATGGCCCCATGCCTCAGCTCTTCTCATTTTGGAAATGGAGCAGTAGAGACAGGGTTTCACCACATTGGCCAGGCTGGTCTCAAACTCTTGACCTCCGGTGATCCCCCTGCCACGGCCTCCCAAAGTGCTGGCATTACAGGTGTGAGCCACCACACCTGGCCTAGAGTTCTCTCAGAACCAGTGAGGGAGGCCAGCAGCCCAAGGGACCATTCTGGCTCTGCCGCCCACACACACGACCTTGTTCAGGGCTCCCACCCACAGGGGGCTGATTCTAAAGTCTACCCTGGTTGCTGCAGTTTTGGGTAAATGCCCTTTTGAGAAAGGGCTCATCCTCCACTCTTCTCAGGCTGCTGGCCGAAGGGGGCAGCAGCTGTAGGTGACAGTTTCTGCTCCCAGACTCCCTGCCCTGGGCCCAGGAGCATCAGGTGTGGCTGCAGGAGGGTTGAAGCTGGTGGAAAGAGGACCAGACAGGGCCTCCCCACTGCTCCTGGACACTGCGGGTTGCCCTGCTCCTCAGAGAGCTTGCTCAGCAGAGGAGGCCCCATGGCTTCCAGCCACTTGACCCAGCAGGGGAGGGGCCTGTGTGGATGTCCCCGGCTCTGTTCCCAGCAGACAGGCTGCTCTCGCTGACCCTTCTGGCCTTTGAAGGCCTCAACACAGCTGCCTCCAAGGACCGCTGCCTGGCGTGCATAGAGGAGCCCTTCTTCTCCCCGCTGTGGCCTCTGCTGCTGGCCCTGTACAGGTACAGGCCCACTTCCACGTGGTGTGGCGTCTGCCTGCCTAGTACCCCTGGCACGGTCTCCTCTATTCAGTCCCTAAGACTCGTGTTTGCTGCCCTGGCCTGTGCTTTACCCCGAGGCCATCCTCAGGGGCTTCCAGTTTGCAGGTAGGGCTGTACCCACCTCCCATGCCTGGGTTTGCTTGGGATACATAGCCAGTTTTCTCCAGGACAGCTCCAGGGACCTCCCTCCAGCCATAGCCCTGCCTCTGTCCCCAGGGCAGGATCCCTGGGGCGGCTTAGCCTGGCCTCTCCCTGCCCCAGGAGCGTGCACCGAGCCCGGGAGGCCGCTCTGAGCAGGAGCATGGAGCTCTATAGGAACGCACCCCCCACCGCCATCGGGATCCCTACCAAGCTCCTCCCCAAGGACCCGGAGGCCAAGGGGACCTACCCCTACTGTGCTGCGGCCCAGGAGCTTGGACTGCTGATCCTGGAGAGCTGCCCCCAAAAGAAGCTGGAGTGCATAGGTTAGCAGGTCTGAGAGGCAGGCTCCCATCCCGGTGGGTGACCTGGAGCCTGTGTCTTCACGACTGAGCTTGTCACATGCAGGGTGGGTGGGACCAGGACTAAAGTGGAGTTAGAGCAGTATCCTCCGCGTCACAGCAGCTCTTCCCAGCCCTGCACATCAGGAAGTGGGGGGCTGGGTGGGTGGGCAGGTGGGCAGGGTGTGAGGGGGGCTCAGGCTGCCGGGTGGGGCAGCGGCCTGGGTTCGCTTTCCCATCCCTGTTGGGTCCCCCTGTGGCATCCCCAACTGCCCCTGAAGCCACATGTCTGTGGCGCAGTTCGGACCCTGCGGGTCATCTGTGTCTGCGCAGAAGACTACTGCCCCACCTTGGAGGCCACACCCCAGGCCGGACCCCAGCCCATCGCTGCAGCAGCCATGTGAGTCCCAGGAGGCCGAAGTGTGGCCAGGGAGGAGGGCCCTGGAAAAGCACGGGGCATTGGAGGGGCTGTCTTCCCAACCCTCAGCCTCGTGCCACAGGCTGGACTGTAGCAGCAGGAAGGCACTGAGTGTGGGCCCAGCCCTTGCTCAGCAGAGCGGAAGCTCCCATCTAGACACAGCCTTGCCACTCCCAGGTGGCTTCCTGGACCGCTGGCCAAGAGGCACAGAGACTGCGGCTGGGACGGCTGCACAGCCGCTGGGTTTGTGGAGCGAGAGGCCCGGCCCACGGTCACGGCCACCGTGCCCTTCCCACAGTGGTGCTGACGACCTGCTGCCCATCCTCTCCTTCGTGGTGCTGAGGAGCGGCCTCCCTCAGCTGGTGTCGGAGTGCGCAGCCCTGGAGGAGTTCATCCACGAGGGGTAGAACCCGGTGGGGGAAGGGTGGGGGCCTCTGTGGGATGAGTGGGGACCTTGTCCCTCAGCCTGAAGGGTGGTTGTCAGTGGCAGCTGGTGAGGGCAGTGACTTCGTCACAGCCATGTTGCCTTCAGGCAGCCCCCACGGGTGCCCCTGTGTAGAGTGTCTGCTGCCTCATGCTCCACGGCCCTTCGCTTAGCTCAGCCTCTCCCACAGCAGGAGCTGGGGGCTGCCCCTTGAGCAGTGTCTGCCTGGGGAGGGGACCGTCAGGGGATCGAGGGCCATCCCTGGCTCTGCGGTCCAAGGACAAGCACAGAGTGGGTGGAAAGGGCCTCCTCCAGCCCAGCCACCCTGACAGCCCCACCTGCACACCCGCACCACCCATGCCCTGAACTGGGAAGGCAGACATTGCCTTCTAGAGGCCGGGTGATGCCTGCTGCCATCCGTACAGGTACCTGATCGGAGAAGAGGGTTACTGCCTGACATCACTGCAGAGTGCTCTGAGCTATGTGGAGCTGCTGCCCCGGGGAGGCCTGGCCAAGCAGTAGAGCCAGACCCAGGGCTCTGGCAGGGCCTGGCCTTGCCTCCCAGGGCCGTACCTCCTGCACCTAGAGCCACGGGGCCTACCGAGGACCGCCCTGGAGCCCCACACTGCTCTGCACACAGCACGAAGTCGCGGGGGAGCTGGTCTATGCTGTGTGCTCTCCAGCTCTTGCCCCTTCCTCGTCCCACATCTAACCCTGGAGCTTGGGGTTGGCACCTCTGCCCCAACAGGATGGGTCTGAAGCAGCTCCAGGAGGAACCCAGCCCTGCTCTCCTGTGCAGGCGTCCCAGGCTCTGAGATGGGAAGCCGCAGGCTCCAGTGGGTGCAGGCTTGGCCATGAGCGTCTGGCCGGGTCCTGCTCTGCCCTTCACTGGGGCAGCTCCTGGGAAGCATCAGGAAAGGGAGGGCCAAAAGCCAGCCAGCAGTGGAGGCAGCAGTCCAGTTTCTCTTCCCTCCAGCCCCTAGAAAGGGAAGTTGTAACCCCATGAAGCAGTTTCTTGTCTGGGTCAGGAGCAAGGGCTGGCTGGGGCCTGAGGCACAGCTGGTATGAGGCTGAGCTCTCTGCTGATTGGCAGGGTCATCCCTGGTGGGTCTGGGACTCTCAGCCCAGAACATTCCCTGCCCTTGCTCACCTTGGCAGTAGGCAGTGAACACTCCGGGACTCCTGGCCAACTCCCACTCTGGGCATCTTCTCCAGGTCCGTGCAGCCCAGGGATCAGTCCTCCGACGGTCACATGCCCCCATGCAGCCATCCACCCAGCCTAAAATAAAGAGGTCACTGCTGTCCTGCTCCGTGTGGCTCCCTCAGTCCCCACCCCACTGGCCAGGCAGCACAGCCACCCCTGCTGCCCATGGCAGAGGCTGCTGAGGACAGGTGGGGAGGAGCCACAGCCCAACCCCAAATAAAACCTGGCCCGACCTCTTGTGCCTTTGCCAGCCTCCAAGAGCCTCTGCATAGAAGCAGGATCCTTTTGAGACTTCGTGCCCTGGCAGGTGTGGGCTCCACCCTCTAGGACAGGCAAGCTCTGCAGGGCGTTGGTGTGGGGGAAAGCAGGTGTCCCTGGGGACCTGAGTTCAGAGCACTCACTTGAAGATCTCAGGATTCATCATCGTCTGTGCATGGGGATGCACAGAGGCCCTGAGGTACAGAGGAGGCAGCCAGCCGCCAGGCGTGGACAGCATGTGCCAGGGAGGTGTGGGCAGGTCATGGAGGGAGGGCGCTTCTGCAAGGAAGGGGCCCCCACCAGCTTGATTTGCCATGGGGAGGCAGGTGGCAGGGCTGGTGGGGTTCCAACCCTAGATGCCACCAGGAGCTGGTTGTGGGGTGCAGGTGCAGGGATGGAGGGGGCAGGTGCAGGGCTGGGGGGTGGGGAGCTGGCTCTGAGGCAGTGCGGGCTTCCTCAGGGAAAAGGTTGTAAAAGCAGCGGCTGTGGAGTTGCTGGGATGCTTGCCCCCTCGGCAGTGGCTGGTTTACCCCTGAGGACCCCGTGGGGAGACAGATGAAGCGCCTCTCCAGGTGGGGGCAGAGCTGGAGCATCTACCTCAGCCCTCGACGTGAACCCCAGCTGGCCATGGTGCCTTGGGGTTTGGGTAGGGGCGCTGCTCAGGCCTCAGCGGTGGTGTCTAGAAGGTGGGATTTTAAAGTCCACTTAACAGAATGGTAGGGATGAGCTGTGTCTTGAACAAATCTTGGCATGGGAGCACCTGCTGGCCTGGCATGAGGGCCAGGGGCGTGCTGGCTTAGCTGTCTCCCTGGTGCGGGATCAGGCAGGTGTGTTCAGGCGCTGCTGCTTGCTGTGCAATTTTGCCCTCTCTGAGCCTGTGGCTCCCCCATAAGACAGGAGTGGATGATAGTGGCTTCCTTTTAGAAATCCTGCAAATGAAAAAAAACCAAGAACCCCCAATTAGAAAAACAGCAAAGGCTACAGACAAGCTATCTGGAGAGTGTGGGTAACCCCCAACATAGGCACCAAGGAATGAGAGCTAAGCAGAACTCTGGCACGATTAAGCCTGAAGAATATCTCAGTTTATAGAGTTACTTCTCAGTTATTTCCCTTTATATAATCCTTTATATAAACATATATTAGTTTATAGAATTAGGGCTTGAAGATTATCTCAGTTTTTAGTGTTCCTACCCAGTTATTTCCCTTTGTATAATCCTCTTTATACAATCATATAATAGTTCATAGTAAAGAATATTTCCCTACATATATATATAACTATATCGTAGCTCATAATCGGAGGAATGTCTAGAGTGGAAACAGTGCAGAGCATGAATTAAGGAATAAGCAGCTTATAATCGGAGGAATGCCTAGAGCAGACACAGTACAGAGCATGGTTTAAGGGAAGACCATTATACCAGGACAAGAATCCATGGCCCTGGCAGCAGTGTTCAGTATCGCAAAGATACCCACTGTATGGCAGGCTTGGGGCGAGAGCCACTCCTCCTGATAAAGGAATTGTAGAACCTTGCTCCAGTTCTTGTGGAAGGCTGCCCTCAGATCGGCAATCCACCTTGGTGACCGTGAATTTTTTTTTTTTTTTTTTTTGAGGTGGAGTTTCGCTTTTGTTACCTGGGCTGGAGTGCAATGGCGCGACCTCGGCTCACCGCAGCCTCCGCCTCCTGGATTCAAGCAATTCTCCTGCCTCAGCCTCCTGATTAGCTGGGATTCCAGGCACGCGCCACCATGCCCAGCTAATTTTTAGTATTTTTAGTAGAGACGGGGTTTCACCATGTTGACCAGGATGGTCTCGATCTCTTGACCTCGTGATCCACCCGCCTTGGCCTCCCAAAGTGCTGGGATTACAGGCTTGAGCCACCGCGCCCAGCGACCGTGAATTTTATCAGCTCTTGCTACTGTGCTGCTTGAAAAGCATCTTCCCATAGAACCCATTGGAAGCTGCCAGAACATGGTGGTAACCCTGACAGCTCTGTCACTGCTGTGTGACTTAAAGCAACCCCCATAAATCTTAGTAGTTTGCCCATAGATAGAAGTATTGCACACTGCACCCACTTCACTGTGCATGGCCTCGGTGACCTAATTGGGGTGGACCCCTTGTTTTATTACCCACGACCCTATCACTTAAAGATGATTTCGGGCCGGGCGCGGTGGCTCAAGCCTGTAATCCCAGCGCTTTGGGAGGCCGAGGCGGGTGGATCACGAGGTCGAGAGATCGAGACCATCCTGGTTAACATGGTGAAACCCCGTCTCTATCAAAAATACAAAAAACTAGCCGGGCGCGGTGGCTCAAGCCTGTAATCCCAGCACTTTGGGAGGCCGAGGCGGGTGGATCACGAGGTCGAGAGATCGAGACCATCCTGGTCAACATGGTGAAACCCCGTCTCTACTAAAAATACAAAAAAAATTAGTTGGGCATGGTGGCGCGTGCCTGTAATCCCAGCTACTCAGGAGGCTGAGGCAGGAGAATTGCCTGAACCCAGGAGGCGGAGGTTGCGGTGAGCCGAGATCGCGCCATTACACTCCAGCCTGGGTAACAAGAGTGAAACTCTGTCTCAAAAAAAAAAAACCAAAAAACAAAAAACAAAAAACTAGCTGGGCGTGGTGGCGCATGCCTGTAATCCCAGCTACTCAGGAGGCTGAGGCAGGAGAATTGCCTGAGCCCAGGAGGCGGAGGTTGCGGTGAGCCGAGATCGCGCCATTGCACTCCAGCCTGGGTAACAAGAGCGAAACTCCGTCTCAAAAAAAAAAAAAAAAAAAAAGATTTCACTCACTGCCCTGCCCCCTAACCTATACACAGTAAATACTCATGCTTCTGGACATTCGGGGCCTCACCTGTCACTGCTCATAGGTGGCATGGCCCCCGGAGCCCAGCTGCATTTTCCTTGCACTTCTTTTTTTTTTTTTTTTCTGAGACGGGGTTTCGCTCTTGTTACCCAGGCTGGAGTGCAATGGCGCGATCTCGGCTCACCGCAACCTCCGCCTCCTGGGTTCAGGCAATTCTCCTGCCTCAGCCTCCTGAGTAGCTGGGATTACAGGCACGTGCCACCATGCCCAGCTAATTTTTTGTATTTTTAGTAGAGACGGGGTTTCACCATGTTGACCAGGATGGTCTCGATCTCTCGACCTCGTGATCCACCCGCCTCGGCCTCCCAAAGTGCTGGGATTACAGGCTTGAGCCACCGCGCCCGGCCTCCTTGAACTTCTGTGTCTTGTCTTTATTTCTTGGATCCTGCGCCTGAGCACAGCATAAGGGACACCCCACAACCCTATGGGCCATCGGCCCTACAGAGAGGAAACAAATTTATTCTGAACTGGGTACAGTAGCTCATGACTGTAATTTGAGGTCATTTGAGGTTAGAAGTTCGAGACCTGCAGGGCTGTAGGGCCCCACAGGGTCGTGGGGTGTTCCTTATGCTGTGCTGAGGTGCAGGATCTGAGAAGTAAAGAAACAGGACACTGAAGAACTGGTGAAGAGCGTCTGGACTTGGCGGGGGGTGGACACGCCACTTATTAGCAGAGATCGGTGAGAACCCCAAACGCGCAGAAGCCTCTGTATTAAGTACAAGCAGTGGGCAGGGTGATGAGTGAGGTCATTATCTATAGGCTTAGTGATAGGGCATACGTAATCATGTGAGTCACAAGCAAGGGGGCCACTCCATTATGTCACCTGGGCAGAGAGGTGGGCCATGCGCAGTACGAGGCTGTGCCATGCGTAGTAGTAGAGGGTCATGTACAGAAAAGGGGTCTACCCCTCTTAGGTCACCAAGGCAAGGAGGTGGGCTGTGTGCAGCAGGTGTCGTGTGCAAGACTTCTTATCCGGGGGCTGGAGACTTCAAAAGATTTCTACTAGAAGGATACTGTAAGCCAGCGCAGTGGGAGCTGACAGACTTGAGCTCTTCTCTTACGACATTTATGGGAGGCTTCTTTGAGCTAGCACAGAAGCGAGAAAAGACTGACAGGAGGAAAAAAAAAAAAATAGAAAGAAAAAAAAGAAAGAAAGAAAAGACTGACAGGGTGTACAGCCGCTGTGACTGGTCACACCAGAGGGGTTCTTCTCCTTCAGTTACTTCCAGGATCTCAGGCCCGAGGCCGACTTTCCACAGGAACTGGATGCGAGGTGCTACAGCTCCTTTCTCAGGAGGAGAGGCTCCTGCTCCAAGCCTACCGTACAGAGTATGCCCTTTCAGGCAGGGACGCCACCACCTGGGGCTTGGGTTCTCGTCCTGGTCTGGCTGTTTTCCCATGTGCTGCTTCTGTTCTGTGACTGCTCTAGGCATTCCTTACTGCAAACTACTATTTGGTTATGTAGAAGGAGTCCATAAATCAGCACTAAATGTGTCAGTACAGCTCCGACTACAATACCTGTATGATTATATAGAAAGAGTATATAGAACTAAGTATGCTAGATATAAGTATTAAGTATGATTATATAAGCTAGATATACGTAAACAGTAAGTTATACTAATTCTATAAACTAATATATGATTATATGTATACAGGTTTATACAAAGGAAATAACTGAGTAATAACACTATAAACTAAGATATTCTTCAGGCACTAATTGTGCCTGGGGTATGGATATTTCTCCTTCCTTGGTGCCCATGGAGGGGTGGTACCCTCAGAGACCAGCCTGACCAACATGGTGAAAACTCATCTTTACTAAAAATACAAAAAAAATTTAGCCAGGTGTGGTGGCACATGCCTATAGTCCCAGCTACTGGGGAGGCTGAGGCAAGAGAATCCCTTTAACCCAAGAGGCAGAGGCTGCAGTGAGCTGAGATTGTGAAACTCTGTCTCAAAAAATAAATAAAAACAGGCCAGGCGCGGTGGCTCAAGCCTGTAATCCCAGCACTTTGGGAGGCCGAGGCGGGTGGATCACGAGGTCAAGAGATCGAGACCATCCTGGTCAACATGGTGAAACCCCGTCTCTGCTTAAAATACAAAAAATTAGCTGGGCATGGTGGCGCGTGCCTGTAATCCCAGCTAATCAGGAGGCTGAGGCAGGAGAATTGCCTGAACCCAGGAGGTGGAGGTTGCGGTCAGCCGGGATCGCGCCATTGCACTCCAGCCTGGGTAACAAGAGTGAAACTCCGTCTCAAAAATAAAATAAAATAAATAAAAACAAAAAATAATAGCTGGGTGTGGTGGCTCATGCCTGCAATCACAGCAGTTTGGGAGGCCAAGGCAGGCGGATCATTTGAGATTGGGAGTTCGATACCAGCCTGGCTAACATGGCAAAACCCCACATCTACTAAAAATATAAAAATTCATTGGGCATTGTGGCATGTGCCTATAATCCCAACTACTTGGGAGGCTGAGGCAGGTAAATCGCATGAACCCAAGAGGCAAAGATTACAGTGAGCTGAGATCGCGCCACTGCACTCCGGCCTGAGCTACAGAGCAGGTCTCTGTCTCAAAAATAAATACATGGCCGGGCGCGGTGGCTCAGCCTGTAATCCCAGCACTTTGGGAGGCCGAGGCGGGTGAATCACGAGGTCAAGAGATTGAGACCATCCCGGTCAACACGGTGAAACCCCGTCTCTACTAAAAATACAAAAAATTAGCTGGGCATGGTGGCGTGTGCCTGTAATCCCAGCTACTCAGGAGGCTGAGGCAGGAGAATTGCCTGAACCCAGGAGGCAGAGGTTGCGGTGAGCCGAGATCGCGCCATTGCACTCCAGCCTGGGGTAACAAGAGCGAAACTCCGTCTCAAAAATAAATAAATAAATAAATAAATACATAAATATTGAACAGCTACTCTGCATAAGAAGCAGCATTCAAATTGTGGCAAAATAAAAGGAAAAGTACGATTTAGCATTTTATCAGCTGGACTGCAGAAGATGAGGAAGCTGGATGACGGTGAGTCTGGCCGGGGAGGAGACTCAAGTACCGTAGGGTGGACAGGGCAGTAGCCCCAGAGGACCAGGTGCAGTCCCGGAGACCCTAACTGTAGACGGACGCTCTGACCTAGAGAGGCTGATCTCAGTTTTAGAGGACACATATTCATATGTGGTTGAGATGACGGAGTCTCCATCCCCAGGAGGTCATGGAAGGAGCAGAGAACGCGCACAGCCCACGGAGTGTCCTTGGGTGGGCACGAGGGAGCTGGGAATGCATGCAGCCCGTGTGGCTACCACTGGGTAACAAACTACCCCAACTCTTGGGCCGAAGTACACACTAGGCCGGGCATGGTGGCTCACATCTGGAATCCCAGCACTTTGGGAGCTGAGGTGGGAGGATCACTTGAGTCCAGGAGTTTGAGAACAGCCTGGGCAATATAGTAAGGCCCCCATCTCTAATAAAAAATTAAAACTAGGCTGAGCACCTTGGGAGGTCGAGGTGGGTGGATCACCTGAGGTCAGGAGTTTGAGACCAGCCTGGCCAATGTGGTGAAACCCCTGTCTCTATTAAAAATAGAAAAAAAAAAAATTCAGTATTGAATTTTTTAAAAAAGAAAAACAAATACCGAAGTCAGCTGGGTGGCTCTAGGTGCAGCTTCTAGGTGGTAACCCAGTGACCGGGGGTTGCATTCATCCGAAAAGCCATCGTCTGGGACCCCAGTCAGGGCTATCACAATGACAATGTGAGGCCCGGGTGGGTCTCCAGGCACTGCCAGCGTGACACAATGGGTGGCTTGAGCCAGCAGAAATGTACTCTCTCATCATTTGCAGGTCTCAAGTCAAAATCAAGCTGCAGGTAGGCCAACTACCTCTGGTGGGTTGAGGGGAGAATTCCTTTTTTTTTTTTTTTTGAGACAGAGTTTCGCTCTTGTTACCCAGGCTGGAGTGCAATGGCGTGATCTCGGCTCACCACAACCTATGCCTCCTGGGTTCAGGCAATTCTCCTGTCTCAGCCTCCTGAATAGCTGGGATTACAGGCATGCGCCACCATGCCCAGCTAATTTTTTGTATTTTCAGTAGAGACGGGGTTTCCCCATGTTGACCAGGATAGTCTTGATCTCTTGACCTCGTGATCCACCCACCTCAGCCTCCCAAAGTGCTGGGATTACAGGCGTGAGCCACCGCGCCCGGCGAGAATTCTTTTTGCCTCCAGCTTCTGGTGGCTCTAACACAGCTGGTGGTACCTTAGCTCATGGCTCCTCGAGGCTCCGCCTCCATCTTCAGGCGGTCTTCTCTCCGGGGTTCATCTCTAGGTTTCTCTCTTCTCATAAGGACACCAGTCACTCGATTTAGGGCCCATGCCAACACAGAACAACCTCATCTTAACTTGATTTTGTCTGGAAAAACTATTTCCAAATAAAATCACACTCACAGACTCTAGGTGAATGTGAATTTCAGGTAGAAGTGCAGCACAACACCTACACAGATGGCCACAGCTTCCTCACTATAGTGGCTGGGCTATGAGGCTGTGTTAGTCTGTCCTCATGCCGCTGTAAAGAACCGCCTGAGAACTGGCCAGGCGTGGTGGCTCATGCCTGCAATCTCAGCACTTTGAGAGGGTGAGATTGGTGGATCACGAGGTCAGGAGTTCAAGACCAGCCTGGCCAAGATGGTGAAACTGTTTCTACTAAAAATACAATGACAACAGGCTGGGTGCGGTGGCTCACGCCTGTAATCCCAGCACTTTGGGAGGCCGAGGCGGGTGGATCACGAGGTCAAGAAATTGAGACCATCCTGGTCAACATGGTGAAACCCCGTCTCTACTAAAAATGCAAAACATTAGCTGGGCATGGTGGCACGTGCCTGTAATCCCAGCTACTCAGGAGGCTGAGGTAGAAGAATTGCCTGAACCCAGGAGGCGGAGGTTGCGGTGAGCCGAGATCGCGCCATTGCACTCCAGCCTGGGTAACAAGAGCGAAACTCTGTCTCAAAAAAAAAAAAAAAAAAATACAACAACAACAACAACAAGCTGGGTGTGGTGGTGGGCACTTGTAATCTTAGACACTCAGGTGGCTGAGGCAGAGAACTGTTTGAATCCTGGAGGCAGAGGTTGCAGTGAGCTGAGATCTTGTCACTGCAGTCCAGCCTGGGCAACAGAGCGGAACTCCGTTTTTGTTTTTTTTAAGCTGCAAAAGACTGGGTAATTTATTTTAAAAAAAGAGAGGTTTAATTGACTCACAGTTTCACATGGCTGGAGAGGCCTCAGAAAACACAATCATGGCAGAAGGCAGTGCCTCACAGGGTGACAGGAGAGAGAATGAGCACTGAGCAAAGGGGGAAACTCCTTATCAAACCATCAGATCTGGTGGAACTATCATGAGAACAGCATGGAGGAAGCTGTCCCCATGATTTCATTATTTCCACCTGGTCCCACCCTTGACAAATGGGGATTATTACAATGCAAGATAAGATTTTGAGGCCTGGCTTGGTGGCTCACGCCTGTAATCCCAGGACTCTGGGAGGTTGACGAGACAAAAGTGGATCACCTGAGGTCAGGAGTTTTAGACTAGCCTGACTAACATGGAGAAACCCGGTCTCTACTAAAATTACAAAATTAGACGGGCATGGTGGTGTATGCCTATAGTTCCAGCTACTTGGATTGGGGCAGGAAAATTGCTTGAACCTGAGAGGCAGGGGTTTCAGTGAGCCGATATTGCGCCACTGCACTCCAGCCTGGGCAACAAGAGTGAAATTGTATCTCAAAAAAAAAAAAAAAAAAAGAAGAAGAAGAAGAAGAAGAGATTTTGGGAGAGGACACAGACCCAAACCATATCAGAGGCCAAGTATTTCAAGACAAGGCCAAGGGCATGGTGTGTTTGTGACCTAGCCTTGGAATTCACACCACACCACTTCTATTCCATGGGTTGAGGCAGGTACAACCCCCCCCCCCCACTCCAGGCCCATGGGATGAGAGCTAGGCCCACTGCTGGATGTATGGACTGGGGCCACTGGATTCAGCGAGGATGGAGGAAGAGAAGTTACCTCCACCCTCCTCTGCACCAGAAAAAGAAAATAGAGGAGTTGGAGGCATATGAAGTTAGCTGTCCACTGAGGTGGCACTGGGCACCACGGCCGGGTTCGGTCAACAGTAAGTAAAAGAGCTCCCTGTCCAGATGTGGCCACCCAGATGACTTAGGGAGATACATCGACTCCAGCATCATTTTTTAAAAAATAGAGTCCCACCCCGTCACCCACGCTGGAGTGCAGTGGCGCAATCTTGGCTCACTGCAACCGCAACCTTCCCCTCTAGGGTTCTAGTAATTCTCCTGCCTCAGCCTCCCAAGTACCTGGGATTACAGACATGTGCCACCACGCCTGGCTAATTTTTGTATTTTTAGTACATACGGGGCTTCACCATGTAGGCCAGGCTTGTCTCAAACTCCTGACCTCAAGTGATCCGCCCTCCTCGGCTTCCCAGAGTGCTGAGATTACAGGTGTGAGCCACCATGCCCGGCCACGATTACAGTAGTTTAATTACAACTGTAATTACAGTATTTAAATTACAGACTGTAATTTAAGAAAAAGCAGAGACGTCGCGGCCCAGGGAAAGTTTCAACAAACTTGGGCCTTGGTTTTGGTGGCCTGGAGAATTGAGGGACACAGACAGGAAGGAGCAGAGCCTGCCCAAAGCGGGAGTGTAGGTTGGGGGGTCTAGGCTGGGACTCCCACGCGTCTCCCTCATCCTCCTCTCCTGGGCAATGCGAGAAAATGGCTTTGGCATAGAACAGAGGAACCCCAGAGAACAAAACGCCCCCGGGACGTCGTGGCCCGGATGTGGCCTGGATGCATCCGCAGCCCAGGTCAGCTTTTAGCCTAGAGGCCGCAGCTTCGCCCTGCCTCAGAGACCTGCCCAGACGCTGCTCTCAAGGGCGGCGAATGACAAGTGCGGGAAGCCGGTAAGTGGAACCGGCAGAAATAGAACCCGAGGTCCCGGCACCCACCTGAGACTAGGCTGAAAAAGGGTTGTCCTTGCGCCCACCTTCCGCGACGGGCACCGCCCACAAGTGGATAGCCCCACCCCGCAGGAGAAGCCCGCCCCCGGGCCCGGCCAATCCCCGCAGGTACTGCAGGTGGCCCCGCCCCGCAGGAGCGGCTCTTTCCAGGATCCAGCCAGTCCCCGCAGGCAAGGCAGGTGGCCCCGCCCCGGAGGGGGACGAGCCCGCGCACCTGCTTCCCCGCCCCGGGACGCCTGAGGCTGCCCGGTCTCGAAGGGAGGAGCGGCCCAGGCACAACCTTCACTGAGCACCTCCCCTGAGCTCGCAGCCCTCGGCTCTGAGGCGTCCTGAAAGACACGGGTCCCGTGGGGCGACGGGCGACGCGGTGACAGGAGGCTCTCGGGGCGCCTCGCGCAGGTGCTCGGCTCGGCGGAACACCGCCTTCTTCCGGCTTTCACCAGGCCCTGCCCAGGCTCGGAGGCCCCGCCCCTCCTAAATTAGCGGGAGGCGGGGCCTGAGCCAAGCCCCGCCCCCGGCGTCAAGGCCGCGGGCCCCGGACGGAGCCGATTCCCGGCGGAAGCGCACGGCGCACGCGGAGGCCCGAACTGAACGGTAGCTGCCGGGGACCCCTGGGGACGGACAGGTAGCGCCATCTCCCACGAGATCCGCAGCTCCATCTGCCGAGCGAGGGGACTCTGGTCGGGAGAGGGCTCAGCGGGCGGAAGCGCGTCTCTAGGGAAGGGTGCGGTCGGTAACCGGGGCGCCCCTGGAAGGCCGATATCCCCCAGCTGCGGAGGGGCTGGGGGTGTGGGGGCGCTCAGCTGGAGAGGGCCAGATCGCCGGCTGGGTGGGCAGATGGCGCCGGGGACTCCAGGGTAGGGGGTGCAGTGGATACCCGGGGCGTTCAGCCGGTGGGGGTGGGGTCTCCAGGCTCGGGGGGTTCTGGGGACGTTAGGCGGGGGCTCGGAGAGAGTGGGAGCGCGGCCTGAGGTCCCTGACCCCCCGCCCGCCGCAGGATGGGCAGCAGCTCGCTGTCCGAGGACTACCGCCTGTGCTTGGAGCGCGAGCTGCGAAGGGGCCGCGCGGGCGTGTGCGGGGACCCCTCGCTGCGCGCGGTGCTCTGGCAGATCCTGGTGGAAGACTTCGACCTGCACGGGGCGCTGCAGGACGACGCGCTGGCGCTGCTCACCGACGGGCTGTGGGGCCGCGCCGACCTGGCGCCCGCGCTGCGCGGCCTGGCCCGCGCCTTCGAGCTGCTGGAACTGGCCGCTGTGCACCTGTACCTGCTGCCCTGGAGGAAGGAGTTCACCACCATCAAGGTAGGCGCCGGCCCGCGGAAGCGCGCCTCTCGTCCTGGCCTGCGGGTCGTGGGAGACCGCGCCTTTCGGAAGAGAGGGACTTCCAGCGTCATTAGTGCCCGGTGGGCGTCTCAAGGCTCAGAGCGCCGAGGGGTCGTGGGCGTGCAGGGGCACCCATTCTGAGGGCTGAGAACATGGGTGGGCGAGGGCAGGCTTGTCCTGCTCGAGAGCATGCGTCAGTGTCTTCCCTAAGGCGGCCTCGCGGCCCCAGCTGCCACGGGAATCTTGGGACCGGGCACAGGAGGGACTTGAGGTCCCGTGGTCATCCTGATTCCTCCAGGATATGGGCCACTCCTGTTTGCAGAGGCGGCCGCCGAGGCTGAGAGGACTGCAGATGGGCGTATCCCTGCAAAGGTGCAGGGTTGGGCACAGACCTAGTGAACTCCTTGGCCTGGGGCCGGCTTGGCCCCTCCAGGTGAGCTCCTGGCGGCAGGAGGGGGCAGGGCCGCCCGGAGCTCTGAGCTAATTCCGAAGAGTAGGAAGCGGATGACGTCACTGCGCACGTGGGCGAGCTACGCCTCCACCGGTTGCCATGGCAGCGGTAATCTCTCCGCGGCTCCCCAGGGACACCTGCTGGTCCGCTGGACTCTCGTTCACGAGAGGGAAGGACAGGCCCGCCTTTGAGGCCTCCCAGGCAGGGCGAGAGAATGACCCGGGCTTCAGTGCCTGGCACCCCTGGGTTGGACCTAGTTTTGCTGCCTCCTGGCCGGGAGGCCTTGGCCGTTACCTCATCTCTCTCAGCCTCTTTCCTCCTCTGAAACAGGGACACAAGACAATCCAGTTCATGGGACCGGAGGAATGAATGGAAGCCCAGAGCTCAGTGCGGCAGGCACTGGGCGCTGGCACGTGGGCCGCGTCCCGGCATTCTTGGAGTTAGGGAATTTTACATTCAGGAGACGCTGGCAGTGATTGTCCTGACGCCCCTTTAGTTCTTCACCTAACTGTAGGCTAGAAAGCACTCACCATTCTGTTATGGCTGTCAGCCCAGTGCAAGGACAGCCTCTGGAGAGCTCTGAAAACAGATGTTGCCTCCAGGTGATGGAATACTACACAGCAGGGCAGCAGGGGAAAAATGAAGGGTGGAGCTTCCGTCCTGATCTGCAAGACTGGGAAAAAAAGTTCAGAACAGTATGTTTAAGAGACTACTTATTCTAGCTTTGGGTAGAGACCTTGAAAAGGGGTGGGCACCTCATAAGAGGGGCAAACCAAAATCTGTATTTGTGTTCGCAAAACAAACAGCTGGGCAGGTACATCCAAAACTAGACTAGGCCATCTCCAGGGGTGAAAGAGAGAGGCAGGGAACCAAGACAACGAAATTTCTCAGTACGGGGGCTCTTTGTTTTGTTCTGATTCATGAGGCAGGTTAATGGATTAGTTTTTTCCATTAAATTTAAGAAACCCTAGGCTGGGCACAGTGGCTCAGACCTGTAAACCCAGCACTTTGGGAGGCCGAGGCAGGCAGATCACTTGAGGTCGGGAATTCGAGACCAGCCTGGCCAACAGGGTGAACCCATCTCTACTAAAAATATATTAGCCGGGTGTGGTGGCGGGTGCCTGTAGTCCCAGCTACTCGAGAGGCTGCGGCAGGGGAATTGCTTGAATCTGGGAGGCAGAGGCAACAGTGAGTTGAGATCAAGCCACTGCACCCCATCCTGGATGACAGAGTGACAGCGTCTCAAAGAAACAAAAAAGAAATTCTGATGTTTGGGCCTGGCCCAGACTGGCTAAGTCTAGTTTCTGGGGTTGGGCCCAAACCTCAGAAGCTGTCAAGGCTTGAACCGATGACCCTTGACCCACTGTGCTCCAGGGTTCACTGACCAGGCCGCTCTCTTGCAGACCTTCTCTGGGGGCTACGTGCACGTGCTGAAGGGTGTGCTGTCAGATGACCTCCTCCTCAAGAGCTTCCAGAAGATGGGCTACGTACGCAGGGACAGCCACCGGCTCATGGTGACCGCCCTGCCCCCCGCCTGCCAGCTGGTGCAGGTGGCCCTGGGCTGCTTCGCCCTCCGGCTGGAATGTGAGATCCTGGGTGAGGTGCTGGCCCAGCTGGGCACCAGTGTGCTGCCAGCTGAGGACCTGCTGCAGGCGCGGCGTGCCAGTGGGGATGTGGCCTCCTGTGTGGCCTGGCTGCAGCAGCGGCTGGCCCAGGATGAGGAGCCGCCACCCCTGCCCCCCCGAGGCTCCCCTGCCGCTTACAGGCCCCCACTGGACTTATACCGGGACCTGCAGGAGGACGAGGGCTCCGAGGATGCTAGCCTCTATGGGGAGCCGTCGCCAGGTCCCGACTCGCCCTCGGCGGAGGTGGCCTACAGGCCGCCACTCTGGGAGCAGAGTGCCAAACTGTGGAGCCCTGAGGGCCAGGCCTGGGATCCCTCAGCTGAGGAGCTGTCGCAGGCCAGCACCCAACCCTATGGGGCCTTGGAGGGGCTGGAGCCAGAATCCTCCGCCTTCTCCTTCCTCTCCCTGCACAGTGAGCTGAGTAGACCTGGAGACCTGGCCACTCCCGAAAGCTCTGCGGGGGCCAGCCCCAGGCGCATTCGGGCTGAGGGCGTACCAGCCTCAGCCTACAGGTCTGTCTCTGAGCCCCCAGGCTACCAGGCACACAGCTGCCTGTCCCCTGGTGCCCTGCCTACCCTCTGCTGCGATACATGTCGCCAGCTGCATGCTGCCCACTGCGCGGCCCTGCCCGCCTGCCGCCCCAGCCACTCCCTGCGCGTGCTGCTTGGTGACGCCCAGCGGCGCTTGTGGCTGCAGCGTGCACAGATGGACACCCTGCTTTTCAACAGCCCCGGGGCCCGGCCCTAGGCCAGGTGGGCCCCGGGTCAAGGGCTCTTGGGAGATAGCTCCCGTGGTGCTTCTCTTTGCTGGGGAGGGGTCTGGGCCTCCTAGGGCCTGGACCTCTGGTTGCTTTGTCCCTGGGGGAGTCCTGGGCACAGCAGGGGCTTGGGAGAGTCCAGACCAACCTCTGCTGGAGGCAGGACTCACCGTGTATATGGAATGCTTGGCCGGCAGGCAGGAACCTTTCCACATTTCTCTGTCCTCGGAACTCAGACCCATGTCCACATGTGCTGGGTAGAGGGGTCTGGCCTGTTCCAGCCAGTGCCTGAACCTGTCCCCAGGGCTGGCACCTCCTGGCCGGCTCCCTGCAGTGCAGGGCTCAGGACTTCAGGGCCTTCCAGGGGTCCCAGGTCTTCTCCACACAGGAGTGTCCTCAAGGATCTGTTGGTGACACCAAGGCCCTCCCCCAAGCTCTGCTGGGGCCCATCTCGGGGGCTCTGCTGAGTGTATGGCTGAGCTGGCTTTGGGGACACTGGCCCTCCCCTTGGGTGTCACAGCAGCTGAGCTCACAGAGGGAATGACCTCGGCCCAGACAGGGAGGTGCCTGAGAGCTGCAGGAATGGGCTGCAGCTGACAGCCGGGCAGGCCCTGAGTGTCACTGCCACTGGGCAGAGGAGCTTCACAGGTCCACCCTGGTTTTGGTCGGTCCTGTGGTAACAATGCTCCCACCCTCCCTTCCCTTGGGTGCAGCCCACAGGATGGAGAGCTGGCGGCTCTGCCCTGAATGCCCTTTGGGGTCTGGTGAGGGAGGGCCAGGCACTTCCACTGCGACAGCCCTCTGGGCTGACCTCCCTGACCCCAAAGCTGAGCCTGCTCTCCTGACCCTTCCCCTACTCCTCTCCTCCTGGCACACTCAGAGGGCACTGTCAACATCAGAGCACATTAAATGCTGGTGAAACCAGGTCTTTTAAGAAAGTTTTTATCCGACCAGAGCCTACCAAACCTCTCAACATCAGCGTTGGGGCCTCTGTGTGAGGAGTGGGATGCAACTGGGCCCCCTGCCCAGGGCTCTCCTGGGGGTCCTGGGGCATCCTCACTTGTGGCCCACACACCACACCTCGTCCCTCTTGTTCTCATCTGGAGTCCTGGCAGGCCCACCTGGGGTCACCAGAGCTGACCCATGCAGGGGGCAGCTCCTGATGACTGAAAGGGCAGAAGGTGGTCTGGGGTCTGCTCCTCCCAAGCCAGTGTCCACCACGACTCCAAGACACCAGAGGGAACTGCACTGGCCACTCCTCCCAAGAAGCAGGGTCCCATGCTTCCAACACAGTGAGGCTAGAGAGTGGCATGAGACCCCTGCAGCTGGGGACGGAGCCACCAGACCCACCCTTCCGGGGTGCACAGGCTGGAAGTCCCTGAAGCATCGCCCTGCATCCAAGCCCTGTTTCTAGGGCAGCAGTGGGTTCAGGGGAAGACAGTGGGATGGTCACTGGAGGATGGTCCCAGCCAAGAGGACCAGCCAGATCCCAGGTGCCTGGTCAGCCTGGATCATAGCATCCTTCACAGACACCGCCGACCTGAAGATCTGGCTGTGGGATGCAAGCATGAGCCAGGCCCGCCGTCAGGGCTTGCAGCGCTTGCTCTGGCCCTCGGAGGTGGCTGGAGCAGCCCGCTTGTTGCGGTGGTGGGGAAAGGTGGGCATGAGCTCAGGCTCACAGGCTGTAGGGAGAAGGGTGGTTCAGGGCTGGCAGGCAGCAGGCCCAGGTCTGAGTCCAGCACTGCCTCCTGACCTGGCCTTGGGCTGTCTCTGCACCTCCATGTCCCCATCCTCTTACCCCGGAGAGGGCATGCGGTCAGTGACAGCACCAGGACAGCTCTCCACCACCCACACCGTGCAAGTCTCCCAGCCAAGCCCTCCCGAGCGGGCCTGAGAAAGGCAGACACTCACGCAGGGGCTTCTCCTTGAAGTAGGAGCTCTCCAGGCAGTCCCCAGCGGTCGCCCTGGAGGAAGGCAGCGTGTGTGACTGGACGGTGAGTCTGGCTTCCTCACCTCCCACCCGGTGGAGCAGCCCATGATCCAGATTCTCAAAGGCAAGATGGGCAGCCAGAAGCCAATGTGAGTGGTGTGTGCCTGGGGAGGGCATCTCTGCGGCAGTGGGCTAGGCTCTGGGAAACCGTCTCCCCAGAATGTGGGTGGTGGGCGTCCCTGACCCTGCGTAGGGATCAGCACCTTTTCTTAGGGTCGTACATGAACAGGAAGTGTAGCAGGCGCAGCCCGGCCTCCGACAGCCACGGAAACTTGTGCTTCAGGTTGTTGTACGGCTGCTTCCGAAGGCTATACTGGCCAACCAGCGGCAGCTTGGAAAAGCCCTACGGGAGGCAGGAGCTGAGGGGCGGAGGGCATGGGCACGGGCATGGGCACGGGCAGGGGGCTGCGGGGTGCCCGGGACACCCACCGGCCAGATGTTCTCACTCGGCGTCCCCAGCAGCTGCACGATCAAGTCGATCTGGTGGATCTCGGAAGTGCCGGGAAGAAGGGGCTTGTGGGCCAGCAGCTCGGCCAGGATGCAGCCCACGGCCCTGCAGAGAACAGGAGACCTCAGTGCGGCCAGACCTCTGCTGACCCCACCAGCATGAGGCAAAGGGGACCTCACTGCAGTACCCCAACAGCATGAGGAACAGAGGACCTCACTGCAGTGATACCTCTGCTGACCCCACCAGTGCACGGCTGGGTCAAGGGCACTGAGGACAAGCAGGGACCATGGACTCCCCTCCTGGGTCCCTCAGGCCTCCCAGGTTGACACGAGCAGGGGCAAGCGTCCCACCTGCGGACCTCTGTGCTCCAGGCCTGGCAACAACAAGCTAAGTTCTCACACTTCCTCCTGGGTTCCCAGGCTCAGGCCCACCTCCCCGGGAGTGGGAGGCTGGCAAAGACCCTACTGCACTCCTGCTCCTCCCCTGAGGATGAGCTCAGGGACCAGGTGACCCAGCTCCTGACTCCGCCATTCCTGAGGCTGCAGGCGCTGCAGGCACTCACCACATGTCGATGCTAGTGGTCTGCGTGGTGGTTCCCAGCAGCAGCTCGGGGGCTCGGTACCTGCACACAGAAACGCCACCTCAGTACAGCCAGCTCTCTCCCCCAGCCCCGGCCTCCACAGGACACAGCCTCCTTGAGAGCCTGCAGGCCTGGAAAAGTGCTCCAGCTGGGACCACCCTCTGCCCCAAGCCCTGCAGTCCAGGTGGCGCGTACAGCAACAGCTGCTGGTGGCGAGAGCCATCCCGCACAGCTTATGTCCTGAGTCTCGAGGACCACGCCCCTTAGCACACAGCCATACCAGCCACCACCAGCCCATTCTGATGGGGACCACACAGCATGTGGGTCAGGACCTGGGTCTGACCAACCCTGATGTTCAGCCCGTGCTAAGCATGACCCTGTCCGGCCTGCTACAACTGTCCTGGAGGAAGAACCAGAGGCAGGATGCAAGCTGCCCACCCTTTAGCCTGTGAAGCAACCTTCCCTCCCACAGACAGATTCACGGCCACGCTGTGTTTCTGGCTACCTCAGGCCAAGGTGTGTCTCACCTGGGCAGTTCTCTTGGTGCCACTGTGCCCGGCTCTCACCATTTCCTGGGACAGCCCTGCTGTTTCCTGGGAGGCTGTCCCAGACCCAGCGTTTACAAGTGTGCACAGGCCCTATAGCTTAACCGTCTGAAGGCCCATTTGCCACTTCAGCCAGACATCCCCAAGGAGCGGTCCCCCAGGCACGCCTGGTCCCAGGAGCCACCATGCTTTCGAGGAACTCACCAGAGAGTGACCACCTTGGGGGTCATCGGCTTTACTGGGACGCCGTAGGCCCGGGCCAGGCCAAAATCCGCTGCAGGACAAAGAGGAGTGAGTGTCACTGAGCCAGGACTGAAGAGCTGCCATCTGGGGACAGGGCTTGCACAAGCTGCACCCACCTGTCTTCACACAGCCCTTGTCAGTCATGAGCAAGTTGGAGACCTTCAGGTCCCTGTGATGGAAAGACAGCAGCGGTGGCTCCCGGAGAGCCAGGGCCACCTGGGGGATCAGACTTTCCCCACGGCACCAATGCCCACATACTTCTGCACACTTCCTCATGCTTCAGCTTTTTAGTATCTTTATTGATTTTTTCATTAACTCATACATGCACTTAATGTTTGGGCCTTTTAAAAATGGGAGCGGGCAATGCACGGTGGCTCACTCCTGTAATCCCCACACTCGGGAAGGCTGAGGCAGGTGGACCACGAGGTTAAGAGATTGAGACCATCCTGGCCCTCATGGTGAAATCCCGTCTTTATTAAAAATACAAATAGGCCAGGCGCGGTGGCTCAAGCCTGTAATCCCAGCACTTTGGGAGGCCGAGGCAGGTGGATCACGAGGTCAAGAGATCGAGACCATCCTGGTCAACACGGTGAAACCCCGTCTCTACTAAAAATACAAAAATTAGCTGGGCATGGTGGTGCGTGCCTGTAATCCAGCTACTCAGGAGGCTGAGGCAGGAGAATTGCCTGAACCCAGGAGGCGGAGGTTGCGGTGAGCCGAGATCGCGCCATTGCACTCCAGCCTGGGTAACAAGAGCAAAACTCCGTCTCAAAAAAAAAAAAAAAAAAAAAAAAAAAAAAATACAAATAGTAGCTGGGTGTGCTGGTGCACATCTGTAGGCCCAGCTACGTGGGAGGCTGAGGCAGGAGAATCACGTGAACCCAGGAGACACATGTTGTAGTGAGCCAAGATCATGTCACTGGACTCCAGCCTGGTGACAGAGTGAGACTCTGTCTCAAAACCAAAAAAAAGAGTGGGCATGGTGGCTCACACCTGTAATCCCAGCATCCTGGGAGGCTGAGGTGGGCAGATTATGAGGTCAGGAGTTTTTGAGACCAGCCTGACCAGCACGGTGAAACCCCGTCTCTACTAAAAAAAAACTACAGCTGGGCGCGGTGGCTCAAGCCTGTAATCCCAGCACTTTGGGAGGCCGAGGCGGGTGGATCACGAGGTCAAGAGATCGAGACCATCCTGGTCAACATGGTGAAACCCCGTCTCTACTAAAGGTGCAAAAAATTAGCTGGGCGTGGTGGCGCGTGCCTGTAATCCCAGCTACTCCGGAGGCTGAGGCAGGAGAATTGCCTGAACCCAGGAGGCGGAGGTTGCGGTGAGCCGAGATCGCACCATTGCACTCCAGCCTGGGTAACAAGAGCGAAACTCCGTCTCAAAAAAAAAAAAAAAAAAAAAAAAAACTACAAAAAATTAGCTGGGCATGGTAGCATGTACCTGTAATCCCAGCTAATTGGGAGGCTGAGGCAGAATTGCTTGAACTTGGGAGATGGAGGTTGCAGCGAGACAAGATTGCACCCCTGAACTCCAGCCTGGGGACAAAGCAAGACTCTGTCTCAAAAAAAAAAAAACAAAAAAAAACAGAGTGCATGGCCAGGCAAGTTGGCTCCCACTTGTAATCCAAGCACTTTGGGAGGCCAAGGTGGGTGGATCACTGGAGCCCAGGAGTTTGAGAGCAGCCTGGGCAACACAGAGAGACTCCATCTCTATTTTAGAAAAAATACCAATGGAGTGCAAGCAGTGGGCAAGCTGTGACAGCTGGGAACCCTGAGATCTAACTTTGCTCTGGAGGCAGCAGTCAGGCCTCATAGGAAGTGGTGCTTCCACCTCTGCCTGGCTCCACCCACCTGTGGATGATGAAGTTCCTGTGCAGGTACTGGAGGCCCCGGAGCACCTGCAGCACGATGCACTTGACCTGTGCAGAGGGTCAGAGGTCAGAGGTACCAGTCAGGGTGAACCTGCAGGGGAGCCGTCACCACAACAGCCCAGGAAACCAGCGCCCTCACAAGGCTCTCAGCCCGGGGCTGTCCACTCCCGGCAAATGCCCCACCACAGGAATTCCCCTCATGGAATTTCAGCTCACTGAAACACTGGAGGCAGAGGCAGATGCAGCAGTGCTCTACCAGTCCCCAGGTGGCCCTGTGTGTTACAAATGTGCACAAGGGCCCATGAGGCCCATCTCCCCATCCCGGGCCCCCTCTGCCATGCACCTGGGCCTCTGAGAAGGGTGTTGGCATATTCTCCAGGAGGCTGGCCAGGTCCTGCTCACAGTAACCCATCACCAGGAAGATGCTGGAAGAAACATAAGATGCATGCCACCCTTCTGCCTTCTCCCAAGGGGTCAAAGTGGACCTCCCCTTCTGCAGGAGGGGACATGGGCAGGACAACCCGTGTCCCCCTCAGACAATGGGGGCCAAGACAGGCAGTGAGGTGGGGTCACCTCTTGTCTGACAACCTCATGCCCAGTGATGCTGTCTTACTCTGTGCAATGCCTCTAGCCCAACACACATGCTCCTTGGGGCCCGACACAGACCAGGAGACCGCGCACCTCTCCAGGTGGTTCCCCACAACCACCTCCTTCAGCTCCACAATATTTGGGTGGCGCAGGCGGAGCAGCAGCGTGATCTCCCGCAGGCTGCTGATGGGGATGCCTGCAGAGGGAGGCGGCCTCAGTGAGCCCGACCCCGTGACCACAGGGAAGCCCCCAACCCCACGGCTCTTCGAGCTCCAGGAACACCTGATACCAGGTGCTGCAGCTGTCCCCATTTCAGGGACAATCAGGCCGACCCCAGTAAGCACTTTTAACTCTTCCTTGACCAAATACAAAGTGACACCTCTCTAACCACTGTGGACATTCATCTGGGGCCAGGCAGGTGCTGGGGGTGGAGGGGCCAGCAAAGCTGAGCCTGCAGGGAGGTGGGCTCACCAGACAGGAGGGAGAAGAGGGGATACAGACCACAAAGCCCTCCTGGCAGAGATCTGGGGCCGAGTGTGGACCTAGGAGGTGACACGCTGGGCCACAGCAGAACCCTCCCAGAGGCTGGCCCCTTATAGCCACAATGCAGTTGCGCTAGAAGGGTTCAGATAATTCACGCCTTCCTGCCTCCTCCCCCCGTGTGGTCCCAGCACCCCATCTCCCTGCTCACCGTCCTTCTCCTTGTCCATCCGCACCTTCTTCAGCGCAACAATCTCATCTGTCTGAGTGTCCCGGGCCCGATCTGCGATGGAAAACGCATCTGTGATGACATCCCATTGGTGCCCTCGTGGGCTCCCTAGCACCACACAGGAGCCTCTCCCTCAGCCGCAGGGGTGCCTTTTCTTTCCTCTGACAACCTCATGCCAGTGACACTCAATTCTCACTCTGTGCAACAGCTCTAGCCCAAGACACGTGCTCCCTGGGGGATTTCCTCATTTGACCTTGGGGGGGTGGTGCCAGGTTTGCTCTGTGCAGGACCTGGAGCCAGCCACTCAGTTCTGTGGCCTCAGGCTCTCCATGTCCTCCGCCTCAGCACGCAGACCACTGCTGTGTGCTCTCTTGTAATCTCCTAAAAGCAAATAAGGTATCATGTGTAGAAAAAAGTCAACCTTATTTTGTGTGACGATAACGCTGCAATTTCGTAGCCGTTGTAAGCGTCAGTCGCGTGGTGTGGTTTTTTCTTTTTCTTTTTTTTTTTTGAGACAGAGTCTCACTCTGTCGCCAGGGTGGAGTGCAGTGGCATGATCTCAGCTCACTGCAACCTCTGCCTCCTGGGTTCAAGCAACTCTCTTTCCTCAGCCTCCTGAGTAGCTAGGACTACAGACGCGCGCCAACACGCCTGGCTAATTCTATATTTTAGCAGAGATGGGGGGTTTCACTATGTTTGCCAGGATAGTCTCAATGTCTTGACCTCATGATCCACCCGCCTTGGCTTCCCAAAGTGCTGGGATTACAGACATGAGCCACTGTTTTTTTCTTTTTGAGACAGGGTCTCACTCTGTTGCCAAGGCTGAAGTGCAGTGGCATGATGACAGCTCACTGCAGCCTCCGACTCCTGGGCCTGGCCGGGTCAGTGGCTCACACCTGTAATCCCAGTGCTTTGGGAGGCTGAGGCAGGAGGATCATTTGAGCCCAGGACTTCAAGACCAACCTGGTCAATATAAGGAAATCCCATTGAAGAATAAACTGGTGTGGTGGTGCGCGCTTGTGGTCCCAGCTACTCAGGAGGCTGAGGAGGGAGGATTGTTAGAGCCTGGGAGGTCGAGGCTGCAGTGAGGTAAGATTACGTCACTGGACTCCAGCCTGGGCACTAGAGCAAGACGCATCTCACAAACAAATTAACAAAAAAACACCTGGGCTCAGAGGACTCCTCGAGTGTGGCTGTTATTGACATGAGCACTGTGTCCACCCCCAGATACTTTTGGAAAGTTCTGCATTTTATTTCTCTAACAGGTCACCCTACTCTGCAGTGACACACTGGATTATGGGTATTAGCAACCTGATGCTTACATTTATCAAGAAATGGAATAACACTTGCGATAATTGCACCAGAAATTAAACTTCCTGAACAAGTTTCTGCCCTGGTTGGGAGCACAGGGTATGAGTCCCTTCCGACCCCAATGCTCTCGTCCCACAGTGTCACAGCCACCAGCCTTGGCCACTCACACACGATGCCGTAGGTGCCCTCTCCAATACGGTTCAGCTTCTCAAACTCCTTCACACTCCGGCATCGCCCCAGCTGAAAGAAAGGGGTGTTGCAAGTGTGGAAATTTGACAGCTGATCAAACAACTTAGGATGGGTATTTCAAAGGTAATTTGTACCAGACAGCCCGCTCAGGTCTTGCTCACCAAACAGAAAGGCAACTACACGCTTGGGCTTTTTTTGAACTTTTTTTCTTTTTTTCAGACGGAGTCTCACTCTGTCACCCAGGCTGGAGTGCAGTGACACAATCTTGGCTCATTGCAACCTCTGCTTTCTGGGTTCAAGTGATTTTCCTGCCTCAGCCTCCTGAGAAGCTGGGACTACAGGCATGTGCCTCTACACTAATTTTTTTTTTTTTTTTTTTTTTGAGACGGAGTTTCGCTCTTGTTACCCAGGCTGGAGTGCAATGGCGCGATCTCGGCTCACCGCAACCTCCGTCTCCTGGGTTCAGGCAATTCTCCTGCCTCAGCCTCCTGAGTAGCTAGGATTACAGGCACGCGCCACCATGCCCAGCTGATTTTTTATATTTTTAGTAGAGACGGGGTTTCACCATGTTGACCAGGATGGTCTTGATTTCTTGACCTCGTGATCCACCCGCCTCGGCCTCCCAAAGTGCTAGGATTACAGGCTTGAGCCACCGCGCCCAGCCTAAGTAATTTTGTTTTTTTTTTTTTTCTTTTTTTTTGAGACGGAGTTTCGCTCTTGTTACCCAGGCTGGAGTGCAATGGCGCGTTATCGGCTCACTGCAACCTCCGCCTCCTGGGTTCAGGCAATTCTCGTGCCTCAGCCTCCTGAGTAGCTGGGATTACAGGCACGCGCCACCATGCCCAGCTGATTTTTTGTATTTTTAGTAGAGACGGGGTTTCACCATGTTGACCAGGATGGTCTCGATTTCTTGACCTCGTGATCCACCCGCCTTGGCCTCCCAAAGTGCTGGGATTACAGGCTTGAGCCACCGCGCCCGGCCTGTAATTTTGTATTTTTAGGAGAGATGGGGTTTCACTATGTTGGCCAGGCTGGTCTCGAGCTCCTGATCTCAAGTGATCTGCCCACCTTGGCTTCCCAAAGTGTGGGGATTACAGGTGTGAGCCACCGTGCCCAGCCTCTTGGGCTTTTCTGATGAGAAAAGGTGGTAACAACACAGGGCCAACACTTTGAAAGAAATATCAGAGGCAGCCACTCAACTACTCCCTTTCAATCCCACATGCAAAAATACATCTGTGGCAGAGGCTGCTATCCCAGCATCCGTATGTCACTGCTTCCTTGAAGTTCTAAAACACTACCCTGTGGCATCTGGCCTCAGGATGTGAGCTGAAGGGACCGTGTGACCTTCAGATGAAAGGAAGCTGGAACCACCCACTTCTCCTCCCCTCAGCCACAGGAAGACAGATGGAACCAGAATGCCTGACCCACTTGTGCAGAACAACTGCTTCTCTCCAGAATGTCAGAGGAGAGTGAGAAAAAGCATCCTCTTACTTGAGCCAGTGTATTTTGGGGTCTGTGTTGCAGCAGAGTCTGCACTCCTTCCCGTGGATGCAAGACGTCCATGTGGCAAGGTTGGAATGCTAACCGCCCCTACTTTCTGGCTTCCTTCTCTTAACCCTACCCTTGCTCTCAAACCTGGGCTCAAGCAATCCTCCCACCTCGGCATCCCAGACTGCTGAGACTGCGGGTGTGAGCCACTGGCCGGCTCTGTCCTCAGTCTTATTACTTCCTGACACCAGGGGGCCGAGTCAGAATCATCTAGCCTGCCACTCTTCCACAATGTCGCCTCAACCTCCCTTTCCGGCCTTAATCCCCCTCTCACATCGTCTCTGCGTGTGCTCTTTCTGCCACCTTTATTTCTGGGTGTCCAAATTCTAGCCACACTTCCTAACCCCAAAGAAATGCCACTGCCAAGCTGGACGCAGTGGCTCATGCCTGTAATACTTTGGGAGGCTGAGGCGGGAAGATCACTTGAGCCCAGGAGGCTGACGACGCACTGAGCCGGGATCACTCCACTGTATTCTAGCCTGGGCAACAGAGCGAGACCCTGTCTGGGAAAAAAAAAAAAAAAAAAAAAAAAGGCCAACTCACTGCTTCACCCCAGCGTCCAGCACAGAGCTCTCAACTCGGGGAGCGCCTGCTGCACGTCTGAAAGAGATACCAAGAGCAGCCAAGGCCTGTGTAGCTCCTGCTGTCATCCAGCCACGATCTGCTAACGATTGTTACTGGACACATGGCCCCTCAGAGCATCAGGCAGCAGTTAAACCACTCAGCGGCCAAACTTCAAGCCTCTGCGACCCCGCCAGCCATGCACCTCGGCACCATCGCCCCACGCCCCGAGGCTCTCTCCTCCTCTCTGCAGAGGGAGGCGCGATCACCTCGTCACGGGTCGCGCACCAGGGCTAGCGTGAAGTCACCAGGCAGCGCTGGCGCCCGCTCGATGCAGCCCGGGCCCAGCGGGAGCCTCCGAGTCAATTTTGCCGCTACAGGAGCGGCTCGCGGCTCGGCCTGCAAAGCCCAGCCAGGACGCAGAACTCAGCAGCGCCCGAGCTGGATCCCGGAGCCTGCTCTTCCCAGGGCGCGAGCCCGTTCGTCAGCGGCGCGGGGCGCCCCTGAGCCCGCCCGGTCCCCAGAGACCCCACCAAGGCTCAGCTAACGGGGTCCGAGCGCCGGCCCGGCCCGTCCCCGTCCCCGTGCCGGCTTCAGCCCCCGCCGCGGGGAAACTGGGAAAGTCGTTCCCGCCCGTGCCAGAAGCCTCGGCGCGACAACGCGACACGACAGTCCCCGCGCCCGGCCGGGCACTGCCGCTAGCGAGGCGCGTAGAGTTGCCCGGATGGCACCCCGCGCACCCTGTGTTCTGGAGGCACCGTGAAGAAGCCCTCCTTACGAATACACTTCAGACGGATGTTCTCCGACTCCAAGTCAGGTTCCGCCATGCTGAGCGCCGGCCTCGCCTCCCGTGCGCGCAGGCGCAGACGTGGACGGCCAAGCGGCGCAGACGCGGACGGCCAAGCAGCGCAGGCGCGAAAGCTCTTTCCCGGGCCTCCCCTCCTTAGCAACGGTTACCAAAAGACGCTCCCGCGGGTCCGCCTTAGGCGCTCAGCTCCAGGAACCTGCCGCGGTTCGGGCCTTATTTTATGAAGCCCGGGCACCCGACCAGGCTGCGCCAGAGTGGGAGGTCATGGCGATTATCCAGGTGAAGGTCTTCGAGGTTAGGGGGTCCTCCAGGTGACGGGGTCCCCCAAGTGGGAGACCTTCAGGTGGGGAGGTTCTCCAGTTCTTGGGGGGATCCTTCAGATGAGAAGGTCCTCCAGGTGAAGGTTCTCTAGGTGGGAGGATCCTCTAGGTGGGGGTGTGTGTCCCCCAGGTGAAGGGTCCTTCAGGTGGGGAGGCTCTACAGGTGGGGGGGTCCTTCAGGTGAAGGTTCTCCAGGTGAGAGGATCCTCCAGGTGGGAAGGGGTCCCTAAGGTGAGGTGAGGGTCCTCCAGGTGAGGGTCCCCAAGGTGAGGGGTCCTCCAGGTGAGAGGGTCCCCAAGGTGAGGAGGTCCTCCAGGTGAGAGCATCCTCCAGGTGAGGGTCAGGTCACTTGGTCCAGGGATGTGGGCTTCAGCAGACATTGGGTACCTCCTCTGTGCTGAGGACATGGGGGCTTCGGGAAACTGAAGGAAACAAGTGCCAATATCCATGCTGTCAAGTTCTGTGACAGAAGTAAGCAGGAGCAAGCGAAAGACAGGAGAGGAGCTCTGTGAGGGAGTGTCATTCAACTTAGCTTCTGGGTGGGAAGAGACAGCTATGTCAGCAGTCTCTGACATGCAGCAAAGCAGATACCTCCCCTCAGTCCTGGAAGACCTGACCCCAGGCTGACAGAAGCCACTCTCACAGGCACCTGCCTCTCCAGTTTCTCTCACAGCCCAGCCCTGGAAGGTGGAAGAAAAGTCGACGTGGAATGTTTAGGAAACACTGTTGGTGCTTAGGTCCAGGGTCAGGGACAGGCAGCATGTCCTCTAATCTGGCTCCACTGTTGAAATCCAGTTGAGCTAGCAGGGCTCAAACCACTGCCCATAGCCAAATCTACTCCACTCAGATGGAGGTTTTTGATCAGCATGTAGAAAATGAGGGAGTTGAGGCCAGGCTCACACCTGTAATCCCAGCGCTTTAGGAGGCTGAGGGAGGAGGATTGCTTGAGGCCAGAGTTGAAGACCAGACTGGACAACACAGCGAGACCCTGTCTCTATAAAAAAAAATAATGCTCACTTTGGCAGGACGTACACTAACATGGAAACAATACAGAGAAGATTAGCTTGGCCTCTGCACAAGGATGACACACAAATTTGTGAAACATTCTATATCATTTTTAAAAATAAGAAAAAAAGGGGCAGCGTGCGGTGGCTCACACCTGTAATCCCAGCACTTTGGGAGGCCGAGGTGGGCAGATCACAAGGTCAGGAGATCGAGACCATCCTGGCCAACATGGTGAAACCCTGTCTCTACTAAAAATACAAAAATTAGCTGGGCATGGTGGCCTGCGCCTGTAATCCCAGCTACTCGGGAGGCTGAGGCAGGAGAATTGCTGGAACCCAGGAGGCGGAGGTTGCAGTGAGCCAAGATTGCGCCACTGCACTCCAGTCTGCACTCCAGTCTGGTGCCTGGCGACAGAGCAAGACTCTGTCTCAAAAAAAAAAAAGAAAAGAAAAGAGAAAAAAAGGAAGATAGGGAGTTGAGTCCAATTTCTCTCCCTCACTGCACAACCCTATTGCATTGGCCCCTAGAGAAAATAAAATGCCTCCCTTTCTGAGTTCCGATATTTCATTCACATCCTGGAGCCTTTAGGAGATACTTAAATTACACCTGTGTCCAGGAGTTTGAGACCAGCCTGACTAACATGGTGAAACCCCGTCTCTACTAAAAAATACAAAATTTAGCCAGGCATGTATGCAGGTGCCTAAATCTCAGCTACTGGGGAAGCTGAAGCAGGAGAATCCCTTCAACCAGGGAGCAGAAGCTGCAGTGAGCCAAGATTGCGCCATTACACTCCAGTCTGGGTGACACAGCAAGACTCCGTCTCAAAAAAAAAAAAAATTCTTGGCAGGCATGGTGGCTCATGCCTGTAATCCCAGCACTTTGGGAGGCTGAGGTGGGTGAATCATCTGAGGTCAGGAGTTCATGATCAACCTGACCATCATGGTAAAACTCCATCTCTATTAAAAATACAAAAATCAGCCTGGCATGGTAATGTGCATCTACAATCCCAGCTACTTGGGGGTCTGAGCCAGAAGAATCACTTGAACCTGGGAAGCGGAGGTTGCATTGAGCTGAGATCACACCACTTCACTCCAGCCTGGGCCACAAGAACATAACTCTTATCTAAAAAAAAAAAAAAAAAAAAAAAAAAAAAAAAAAAAAATCCTCCTTTTTACAAACTTTATCACAAATAACATAAACCATTTATGATATACTTGGACTTCCTGTTTTATCCTGACCAACCCTCTTTTCAAAATAACCAGCCATTTTAGGACAAAAAATTACCATACAATATTCTTTCTCATATCAATTTATTTTCCTTTTAACTGTTCCTACTAAAAATACCTCCTTATAACTATCTTTACATCTCTATTTATTTTTTTAAAGACAAGGTCTATGTTGCCCAGGTTGGTCTCAAACTCCTGTGCTGAAGCAATCCACCCAGGTCAGCTTACCAAAGTGCTAGCATTACAGGCATGTGTCACCATCCCTGGGCTAACTTTTGTATTTTTAGTAGAGACAGGGTTTCATCATTTTGGCCAGACTGGTCTGGAACTACTGACTCCAAGTGATTCACCAGCGTCAGCCTCCCAAAGTGCTGGGGTTATAGGTGTGAGCCATTGTGCCTGGACTATTTCCTTTTTTTTTTTTTTTTTTGAGACGGAGCTTCGCTCTTGTTACCCAGGCTGGAGTGCAATGGCGCGATCTCGGCTCACCGTAACCTCCGCCTCCTGGGTTCAGGCAATTCTCCTGCCTCAGCCTCCTGAGTAGCTGGGATTACAGGTACATGCCACCATGCCCAGCTAATTTTTTTGTATTTTTAGTACAGATGGGGTTTCACCATGTTGAGCAGGATGGTCTCGATCTCTTGACCTCGTGATCCACCCACCTCAGCCTCCCAAAGTGCTAGGATTACAGGCTTGCGCCACCGTGCCCAGCCCCAGCCTATTTCCTTTTAATAAGAAATTTATTAGAAAAATATTTTCCTGGCCGGGTGCGGTGGCTCAAGCCTGTAGTCCCAGCACTTTGGGAGGCCGAGGCGGGTGGATCACGAGGTCGAGAGATCGAGACCATCCTGGTCAACGTGGTGAAACCCCGTCTCTACTAAAAATACAAAAAACTAGCTGGGCGTGGTGGCGCGTGCCTGTAATCCCAGCTACTTAGGAAGCTGAGGCAGGAGAATTGCCTGAGCCCAGGAGGCGGAGGTTGCGGTGAGCCGAGATCGCGCCATTGCACTCCAGCCTGGGTAACAAGAGCGAAACTCCGTCTCAAAAAAAAAAAAAAAAAAAAAAAAAAAAAGAAAAATATTTTCCTGAAATATATATTTTTTGAGACACAGTCTTGCTCTGTTGCCCAGGCTGGAGTGCAGTGGCACAATCTTGGCTCACTGCAACCTCTGCTACCAGGATCAAGTGATTCTCCTGCCCCAGCCTCCTGAGTAATGGGACTACAGGCATGTGCCATTATGCCCAACTAATTTTTGTATTTTTAGGAGAGACGGAGTTTCACCATATTGGCCAGTCTTGTCTTGAACTCCTGACCTCTGGTAATCCACCCACCTCAGCCTCCCAAAGTGCTGGTATTACATGCATGAGCCACCACACCCAGCCAAATACAATTATTTTTAAGAAAAATTAGAAATGATGCCGGGCGTGGTGGCTCAAGCCTGTAATCCCAGCACTTTGGGAGGCTGAGGCGGGTGGATCACAAGGTCGAGAGATTGAGACCAACCTGGTCAACATGGTGAAACCCCGTCTCTACTAAAAATACAAAAAATTAGCTGGGCATGGTGGCGCGTGCCTATAATCCCAGCTACTCAGGAGGCTGAGGCAGGAGAATTGCCTGAGTCCAGGAGGCGGAGGTTGCGGTGAGCCGAGATCGCGCCATTGCACTCCAGCCTGGGTAACAAGAGCGAAACTCCATCTCAAAAAAAAAAAAAAAGAAAGAAAAAAAGAAAAATTAGAAATGAGCTAGACATTTAATGGGTATCTAGTATTTAACATAACTTTTGATTTGAAATTATAACAAGCTTACTTACAAGCATTTATTCCATTAAGTTTACCTAATTTTAAAAATAGTTTACCTAGATTACTTAAGAAAACTGTGATAGGCTGGGCACAGTGGCTTATACTTGTAATCCCTGCACTTTGGGAGGCCGAGTTGGGCGGATCACCTGAGGTCAGGAGTTCAAGAGCAGCCTGGCCAACTTGGTGAAACCCTGTCTCTACTAAAAATATTTTTTTTTAATTGCCATTCCTGGTGGCAAGTACCTGTAATCCTAGCTACCTGGTAGGCTGAGGCAGGACAATCACTTGAACCCAGGAGGCGGAGATTGCAGTGAGCCACGATCGCACCACTTGCACTCCAGCCTGGGCAACAGAGTGAGACTCCATGTCAAAAAAAGAAAAAAAAAAAAAAAAAAAAAAAACTGTGGCATTCTTCATTTAAAATTATTTCTTGGTTAACCTTTTCTTTGTGTGTATGTGCTGGGGTTTCACTCTTTTTGCCCAGGCTGGAGTGCAATGATGCAATCTCAGTTCACTGCAACTTCTGCCCGCAGGGTTCAAGTGATTCTCCTGCATCAGCTTCCTGAGTAGTAGGGATTATAGGCACCCACCACTATGCCTGGCTAATTTTTTTTTTTTTTTTTTTTTTTTGAGACGGAGTTTTCGCTTTTGTTACCCAGGCTAGAGTGCAATGGCGCGATCTCGGCTCACCGCAACCTCCGCCTCCTGGGTTCAGGCAATTCTCCTGCCTCAGCCTCCTGAGTAGCTGGGATTACAGGCACGCGCCACCATGCCCAGTTAATTTTTTGTATTTTTAGTAGAGACGGGGTTTCACCATGTTGACCAGGATGGTCTCAATCTCTTGACCTTGTGATCCACCCACCTCGGCCTCCCAAAGTGCTGGGATTACAGGCTTGAGCCACCACGCCCGGCAATTTTTGTATTTTTAGTAAATACTTTTCTCACCATGTTGGCCAGGCTAGTCTCAAATTCCTGACCACAGGTGATCCACCCATCTCAGCCTCCCAAAATGCTACAGTTACAGACGTGAGACACTGTGCCTGGCCTAACCACTTTTATAGCCTGTGAATTTCAGGTTTTTACCTAAGTAAGAACCTTATGGTTAAACAAGTGTTTCTCTTTTTTCTTTTTTTTTAATGCCAGTTGAGACATCGACCACCACCTGTGAAGTCTGGCCTGCAGACCCTGACTCTACCATGGATGAATGAATGTGCTTTCACACCATTACAGTCATACAAGTGGGCTAGGGGTGGCTGTTGGCTGCTTTCAGAGGGTGAAATGCAAGCAATCAACCAAGACCCTCTGTCCATCCACACATTTATTCATAACAGCGGCTCTAAGTCAACACGCTTGTGTATAATTAACATGGTTAAAACAGCGGTTTTATGAATGATAAAAGCTTTAGTTTCCAGGCCCTGGGTAAACATTATTAATGGGTAATTCCCCTTTGACCTCCCTGAGAGGGCTATTCCGCACGAAGTTTACATGACTAAACAGAGTAGAGACAATGCGATATGGGGTAAACAGACTTAATTAGAAAAGCCTCATGCCTATTTTCTCCCTAACTTAGTGGAACAACTGGTCACATTTGGCCTGCTCCAGTAAAGCCTTTTGGCCTTCCAAAAGGTATAAGACTAATCTATAACTTTTCCTAATGTATGACTGTAATGGTGTGAAAGCACATTCATCTCAAAATGCAGACAGACAGTCTGGGTTTGTTAGAGGGACATGAAAAATGAATGCCATGTCACACATAAAATTACAGGCTGTGCATGGTGGGGGACTTCAGTGGGGGATTACCCAACTTTGGGTAGATGGCTGCCCACTTTGGGTCCCCTCTCCTGAGAACTGTTCCACCATTCAACAAAACTCTCTGTTCTGCTCACCTTCTGGTTATCTGCATAACTGCATTCTTCTTGGACATGGGACAAGAACTTGGGACCTGCCAAATCACAGATACAAAAAGGACTGTGACCCTGTAAGACAACCCACTCACCAGCCCACTGGCCATGGGAACGATCAAGCTGTGATGTCCTTGGGGCTCTGAGTTCCTGGCAGCTCCAAGTTTTCAGGAGCCACCACATTCCCCTCGTCCAGACACCGATGCTGAAGGTGGAAGCAGGCTGTGGCAGGCGCAGCCCAGCCATCGGCTGAGCCCAGATCCCATGGTGAGTGTGGTCTGCTGGGCTAGGTGGGTGCAGTACCTCCAGCAGCAAGCCCAGAGCCAAGCAAGGCCTGGGTAGGGGTACCACCAGCCACAGAGGTCTCCAGCAGAAGCAGCAGCAACCCAAGAAATCCTGTGTCAAGTATTTCAGTTAAAAAAAAAAAAGGTAACACAATACAATAGCAAGCTCTTTAAGATGTGAGAGGAACTAGTCTGTTTACACTCTTGGGGTTCCATAAGAAAAACAGAAGTTTCTTCCCAAATAGAAGTCTGGTGCCTTCTCTTCCAGAGTCTGTTAGAGGGACATGAAAAATGAATGCCAAGTCAAACATAAAATTATAGGCTGCGTGTGGTGGGGACTTCAGCAGGCACTACCCAACTTCAGGTAGAGGGCTGCCCACTTTGGGTCCCTTCTCCACTCCAACCCCAAGAAAACTCTCTGTCCTGCTCATCTTCAGGTTGTCTGCATAACTCTGTATATGTGTATGTGGCATACAGACTTAATTAAGCTAATATGTTAGATATTAGCTTTTAATTAAGCTTACTTTTGACCATCCAGCTCTTTAAAAAAATCCTTTTGGATGTGTGCAGTGGCTCACACCTGTAATCCCAACACTTTGGGAGGCCAAGGTGGGTGGATCATCAGGTCCAGAGTTTAAGACCAGCCTGGCCAAGATGGTGAAACACCATCTCTACTAAAAATACAAAAATTAGCCAGGCACAGTGGCCCACACCTGTAATCCCAGCTACTCGGGAGGGTGAGGCAGCAGAAACACTTGAACCTGGGTGGCAGAGGTTGCAGTGAGCTGAGATCACAGCAGTGCACTCCAGCCTGGGTGACAGAGTGAGACTGCATCACACACACACAAAAAAAATCCACTTAAATCTTACTACTTTCTTTTAGCTGGAACAAACTGCTGATATTTCAAAAGTTAAACAAATTTCAAACCAGAAAGGATTTAGGAATCGAACCTGGGCTGTCTGGTGGAAAAATGGTAGAATGTACCTACAGAACTACATTTACTGTGATCACATTTACTCTGAGTGTGGCTTGGCTCGAAAAAGGTGGCCTTGTCATGCAAATAAAGCCCAGCAGGTGGTCAAAATCTTTTTTCCCCTTTGCTGGATGTTTTTTGTTTTTCCTTTTTCCCAGCTGTGGGAACTTTGCCAATTCAGAGGCCTTGTTTCCTACAATTGGAAAGTTTCAAGTCTAAGAGAGACAGTCAAACCCAATGGGAAAGACACTGAAGCAGCAAAAAATAGCAAACACAGAAACAACTAAACAAAAAGCAGGCAAAACAATCACACAATTCATACAATTACAGAGCACACTAACATAAGAAATTAGACCAGCCAGTTGTTCATCTCAGTTTTAGTCACTAAGGAGAATTTCCAAGACAGAACCCCAATTCCGCTACTTACCTAGGAACGGGGCCCAGGCTTTAGACTGTCTGCCGTCCTGGAATCAGGAAAAATTCCAAGTCCCCTTCCCTGTTGCATGTGAGCTGAACTCCAGGAAAGCTTCCTGTCCCCAACATCACGAAAGCAGGAAAACTCATCTTCTTTGTTGGAAGTAACACACCAGAAAAGGAAAAGGCATTGTACAGCAGAATAAAGCTCAGACCTCAACCAAGTTTCAGGAGACCAGACTCTCTGGAGGGTGATGGGGCTCCCAGATCCCAGCAAACTGTCCTATTGTCTTGAGCGATACACACAGCCAAAACTGGTCCTAAGTACCAGTAGGAAACCTGCCAAGGTTAGGGCCACCTACACTCTGAGTCCCTTCGTGGTCACCAATCTGTAAACCAAAAAGTATCTGAGACAGGTCTCCCTCAACTTAGAAGTTTATTTAACCAAGGTTAATGATGTGTGCCTGAGAGCCAGGTCTGTGCCCTCCCCCAAAGATGATGTTGAGGGCTTCAGTATTGAAAGGGGAAAAGAGGGCTGGAGGGGAAGGATGGAGGATCTGGCTACATCATCGAATCCACGTGTTACAAGAGAAAAGCAGCAGGTAGGAAAGAGTCACTTACATTTTTATCTGCTGCCCAGTAAATTGGCACTTCACCTAAGGTGAACAAAGAGTAGCTCCCTGTGGAGAAATTTTATTTGTAGCTCTCTGCTTAGGAACAAAAAGAAGGCAGCTTCTCGTTTGACTCATGTTTCAGATTATTTTTTTCTTTTGGCACAGTGAAATTAGCATACCAAGTTTTATTGGCCCTTCACATTTCCTGAGGCTCTGTGTATGTATGTATGTGCCAGATAGGCCTGTCTGGATTGGAACTACATGTTCCCTCCCATTGGCACCTGAGAAGTCCATGTCTGGGACTCTGGTGGACACGCTGCTGTCCCTTGGGTCTGTTGGCCAGTGAAGCAAGCATATCTCGGGAGATCACATGAAAAGCCTGTTGGCCAAACTAGAAACTAACAAAGCTAACACACTGTCACTAGATGCATGAGCCTTCCAGACAGCGAAGAGCATTCTCTCAGGCAACAAAGGAGGAGCATCTAGCCTTACCTGATGGCTGCTGGAGAGGGTGCAGCCATCGTGCTCAGGACCCTTCAATGGCCTCCCACAATCAGGAGCCCTCATCTGTGGGCCAGAAAGCCAGGACAGCACTGACAAGGCCACTTCCGACATCTAAGTGTGGTCGCTGCCCCCTTCCCCCAAACACATCTCTTCTGAAATGAAGGGAAAGTGTTTTAACTGTCCACCATGAAGCAGAGTGTGAGACGCCATCTGCTGTCCATCACTCTGCACAGCCAGCTACTCCCACCAGGAACATACTCATTTATTCATTTATCACCACAAAGCTCGCTTTCTGAGCTAGGCACTCCTGCCTCGACAGAGCTGCCAGCAACTCTGGGGAAGGCAGGACCAAATGGCACTAGAGAACGGGCCATGGCTTCTCACAGGGTTGGAGTGAGCCTGGTGCCACCCTCCTGGAGAGCACTGGAGAAGAGGGACGTGGCTTCCCAGAGGGTGGGTGGCTGTTCTGCTCAGACAGTGCCACCCTTCCTGATACGCCTATCATGGGGAGTAACGGGTGCTATGCAAGGGTGTCCGTTTATTCTTTGATATGTAAATCATAAGCATCTGCTGTACTGGGGGTCCTGTGTCGCCGGTAGGGGCCCCAGTCCTCAGGTTCCCGGATGGTTCTCTGCTCTTCAGTTCCGCTGGAACTGTAGCTGACTAGCGACTCATTTGAGGCCCGAGTGATGATAATCTGCGGAATGACGAATTTCCTCTTGGTGGACTTTTGCTTTACATCAGGTTTCTCTAGAGGAAAAAAACATCCAGGCATTTAGTAGATGTGTGTAAAGCTCCTTCCATGATGCACATACCTCCTACCACTGGTCAAAGTAAAGGAATTAGATTTCTGGTTCAGAAGAAATAGTTAACAGGAGTCCAAAAGTGATCAAAACTGTCCGTGAACATTCCAGATCTTAAACAGATTTGCAACTCAGCCACGAGGGTTGCTGATGCCAGACACCCCTTTTCAGGGAAGAAAACAAGAGAAACACTCCCATTCTCCGCCGTAAAGACACTGTGTGCAGCCTGGCACCAGGGCGACCAGCACAGGGAAGAGAGAAAGCACATGTCCAGACAGGAGCTGCCTCAGAGCCTCAGCTTCAGAGACACCATCACCACTCCAAAGGTTTCTAAGCCTGGTAAAGCCCTCTGTACAGAACTTTATCAATTAGAATGCTCTAGAGATGGACATTTCTGTCTGATGTTGCTCACATTTTGTTAAACTTGTTAAGATTACAAGGAATGTCGGAGACCTGTGAAACTGCTGAGTTTGCTGAATGTTATCAAGTAAAAGCAGAAGTGCTCCTCACCACCTACTCTCCCGGCCTGCCACCTGCCCCTTCCCAGAGTGCCACTGCTACCAGCTTAGGCACAGCCATTCAGTCATCTGGGAGAGCAGGGTGGAGCTCTCTCTCTGCACACGTATTTGTAGTATGGAGTTAGAAGACTCACACAGTCACCTTTTCACAAAAACATAACTACACCGGTCAGGTTGTTTTACAGCTTGCTTTGTGGGGACACTTGATAGCTCATGAACCTAGATACGTGGTGGGATGGACAGCTGGCAATGACAGTGCTGGCTTTATTATTATTAGAGATGGAGTTTCACGCTTGTTGCCCAGGCTGGAGCGCAATGGTGCGATCTCAGCTCACTGCACCCTCTGCCTCTCAGGTTCAAGCGATTCTCCTGCCTCAGCCTCCCGAGTAGCTGGGATCACAGGGATGTACCACCATGCCCAGCTAATTTTGTATTGTTAGTAGAGACAGGGTTTCTCCATGTTGGTCAGGCTGGTCTTGAACTCCTGACCCCAGGTGATCAGCCCACCATGCCCTCCCAAAGGGCTGGGGTTACAGGCATGAGCCACCATGTCCGGCCTATTATTTTCATTATTTTACTATTATTAATATTATTTTTGAGATGGAGTCTTGCTCTTTTGCCAGGCTGGAATGCAGTGGCACCATCCCCACTAACTGCAACCTCTGCCTCCTGGGTTCAAGTGATTCTCCTGCTTCAGCCTCCCAAGTATCTGGGACTACAGGTGCGCACCACCACGCTTAGCTACTTTTTGCATTTTTTTTTTTTTTTTTTTTAGTAGAGAAGGGGTTTCACCATGTTGGCCAGGATGTTCTCAATCTCTTGACTTCATGATCTGCCCGCCTTGGCCTCCCAAAGTGCTGGGATTACAGGTGTGAGCCACTGTGCCTGGCTGACAGTGCTGGTTTTTATTGCATGCCTGTTCTGAGCCCTAGAACAGTGAATAATGACACACAGCAGCTTCAGGTATAGGTCCCTGATGACCCATATTTTACAAACAAAACTGAGATACAGACAGGCCAAGTCACCTGCCCAAGGTTAGGCAGATGGGAGAAACGGAGAGGCCAAGTCACCTGCCTAAGGCTAGTCAGATCGGGGGAGAGCATACCACTGCACTCCAGCCTGGCAACATAGTAAGACTCTGTCTCAAAAAAAAAAAAAATTATATCAATTTACCTTTCCACAAAGAGATTTTAAACTAAGAAAGAGGTTCCGTATTCCAAACTTATAAAAACATTTACCCATTTTCCGTTTTTTTTTTATTCTTGCTGTTCGAGTCAGGGTCTCACTCCGGTCACCCAGGCAGTGAGGGCAGGGGCAGCCACCTGGAGCAGCTACTGCGAAGTCACCAGCCGCAGTGGACATGGTGTGGCTGGGGCTGCATGCCCCACAGAGCCTGCAGGAGCCAGGAGCAGGTGGGAGCTCCACCCCTCCAGAGTTGGTGGGGCAGGAGCCCCTCCCAGTTGCAGCTGTGGCCCTGGGCATCCCTGTACTCTGAGGGCCTGGGAAGTCCTCCAATCTCTGCAGGCTCAGAAGTGCTTGCTCCCACCATCTGGCCTCTCCCCACTCCCACTGCCCGCTCCAATTTCAGAGCAAAGCTGAGGCTAAACCCAGGCACTGTTGCAACCCGGGCGGGTGTGCATACGCTCCAGGCAGTGCTGATAAGCAAGGCCCCTGCCATCTCGGGTCCCTCTGGACTTCAGATGCCTGCGAGCACTGGGAGAAAGGTTAAGCGGGGGCCTGAGGGCAGCTCAGCCTGAGCCTGCAGGCATCCCTCAGCACAAACAGCCTGGGCACCATGGACAACACAACTGATGGCGACGGGAGGCAGACAGGCTCTTAGGTAGACAGAGGCGGGTCCCCGGTGAAGCCCCATCTTCAAGCCAGGGACAGCCTGAAGGCTGGGGACTGGGCTCAGCTCTGGGTGGAGTGTGTGGCTCAGAGGGAGAACTTACAGTGCTTTTTCTGGCCTGTCGATGGCTGCCCATGGACCAGCAAGCAGGCACTTCCTCCCTTCTGAAGCCTATAAAAATACTGGACTCAGCCAGACTCACAGAGAGACGTCAAGAGGACCAGCTGTGGGGGAAGGAGCTACCCAGTTAGGTCTCCTCAACTCACTGGGATAATCTGCCGGCAGAAACAAGCTACCCAGTCTGGGTCCCCCGTCTGCTGAAAGTTGGACACTCGTTGGATAATCTGCCTGCGGAAAGGAGTTACCCACACTGGGTCTCCTGAGAACTGTTCTGTCGCTCAGTGAAGCTCCTCTCCACCTGTCTCACCCGCCAGTTGCCCACGTACCTCATTCTTCCTGGAGGGGGGACAAGACCTTGGGACCTGCCAAATGGCAGGACTGAAAGAGCTGTAACAAACAGGATTGAAACACACCCTCCTCCCTTCCACCTGCCATGTTGCAGGCGACAAGGAGAGAAGAGCTACAGCCATTTGGGGAGGCCAGGGCTGTGATACCCTCTTTGGGGCTCTGTGGTTCCTGGCATCTCCAATCTCTTGGGTGCCACTGCATTCTCCTCATTCGAATGTGGGTGCCTGCAGCAGAAGCCACATGTGGAACACCTGGTCCAGCCATAGCCTCACACAGAGCCAGCACCTATGCTGGCACCTGCAGCTGCCCATCCCAGGCCTGTGCCCAGCTGTGCATGGTAGCTGGACCCCACACTTACTCACCGACACACCACTCGCTGCTCTACGCCTGGCTCAACCTTGGCAGGTGTGGGATCTGAGCCAGTGTGAGCTGAGTGCAGCCTGCTGGGCCGAGCGGGCAGTACAAGTCCAGCAGGTGTCAGCAAAACCCAAGCAGAGGCACTGTGGCCACAGAACTGGCTGGTGAGGGGACACCCTTAAGACTCCCGTGACAACAGCAGGGTGGTGGCGTAACCAAGACTCACCACAGCCCCACCCACCTAGGCTCAAGTGATCCTCCCTCTCCATTAAAAAATTTTTTTGGTACAGACAAGGTCTCACTCACCGTGTTGCCCAAACTTGTTTTTGAGACATAGTCTTGCTCTGTTGTCTAGGCTGGAGTACGGTGGTGCAATCAAAGCTCACTGCCACCTTGACCTCCCAGGCTCAAGGGATCCTACATTTAAGTTGTTTTGTTTGTTTCTTTGTTTTGAGGCAGGGTCTCGCTCTGTAGCCCAGGCTGGAGCGCAGTGGCTGGATCTCAACTCACTGCAACCTCCGCTTCCGGGGTTCAAGCAATCCTCTGCCTCAGCCTCCTGAGTAGCTAGGATTACAGGTGTCTGTCACCACGCCCAGCTAATTTTTGTATTTTCAGTAGGGATGGGGTTTCACCATGTTGGTCAGGCTAGTCTCAAACTCAAGCGATCTGTCTGCCTGACCTCAAGCAATCCGTCTGCCTCGGCCTCCCAAAGTGCTGGTACCACAGGCGTGCAGTGCACTTGGCCAAGGTACTAGAGTTAAGCCTCGTTTTCTACGTTAGCAAGTCAGCTGTCCGGCACCATCCATGTTTCCCATGCAGCTGATGTGGTGCATTGTAGGGGGAAATCCCATAGCGCCCAGGCAGGAGCCAAAGGCCTCAGCCTATTTCCATATAATAATGAAGGAAAAAGTAATTAGAAATATAACCATAGTAATTAGTTATTCGTATGTGATCTTAGTTATTCATAGATCTTTTTTTTTCTTTTTTTCTTGATCCGGAGTTTCGCTCGTTACCCAGGCTAGAGTGCAATGACGTGATCTCGGCTCAAGGCAACCTCCGCCTCCTGAGTTCAGGCAATTCTCCTGCCTCAGCCTCCTGAGTAGCTGGGATCACAGGCACGTGCCACCGTGCCCAGCTAATTTTTAGTATTTTTAGTAGAGACGGGGTTTCACCACGTTGACCAAGATGGTGTCTATCTCGACCTCATGATCCACCCACCTCAGCCTCCCAAAGTGCTGGGATTACAGGCGTGAGCCACGGCGGCGCCCGGCCTATTCACAGATCTTAATTCTTTTACTAATGCCTCTCAGGTCGGAAGTGTGAACCTGGGGAGACACTGTGAAATGAATGACACTAAGGCAAGATGCTCCAAGCCCTCTGTCACGCCTGCATAAGGGCTGCTGGAGGGCGCCTCGGCTGGGAAAGCACCCGCTGTTTAGCCAGCCAGGGAAGGAGACATCCAAAATGGGGGAGACATCGCCTTCCTTGGGGAAGTGTGGAGAAAACTCCACTTCTCCAAGCTCTTGTGGTAAGGCCTGATGGCTGTCAGGAACACCCACAAATATCCGGGGACTTAACTGTCTCTGTGATGCTGTGCTTCAGTGGTCACATTCCAGGTCTACTCTCATGTTCTGCTTCTGCACCTGGTTCCTTTTTTCTTAGAAAAGATAATCAGTAATACTAACATAAATATTAATATTTCAGTTCTTTATGCATTATGCTCCTTACCTCACTTCGGGTGCCAGAAATTCCTGA